TTTAGGGGTTAGATGCTAGTAAACTGTGCCATTATTGTACTATTTCTATAAACGTACGATGATATCCGTAGTGCTAACATATGGAGATGTTAATGCTTTCTTATGAAGCTGTGGTTTTGATGACATTGTATTTGACTAATAACTCCAAAATATTCCAGAAATAATGATAGTGTACCGGTCACGACTAATTATTTTACTAGCTAAGGAAAAAATAAACAAATGAAGTTCATATAACAACGACTTTGAATCATAGCAGAATCTTTGGTTTTAAAGCACAGTGGTTTTACGTACAACTTTTGATAAGCTATTATCGATCTGAAAAACACGTGGTATACTTGCAACGTTAATGTTTGCAGTCTATACAAAGTTACGAAAAATAACGTTTTTTGATCCGCAGAAGACTCGGATTGTTAACTCCATCACGAATGCAGTGTTTAGTACATGAAAGAAATAGTCGAATGTGTGGAAAAATAAAAAGAGCACGCAGCCCTATTTCAAGGCCAAAATCTTTGATGCAGAACATTATGTCAACCCAATATATTGTTAGGGTTATACGGCAGCAATAAGGACAGCATAAAGTAAGGTACGGTTTGACTGCATAGCCTGGTTGTGACCAAAGCGGTGCTTTCTTAATATTTTGTCGCAATTTTGGTATTTCTCAGCAGAAATTTGGTAAAAAAAATTGTCATTGACACCGTAGCAGATCAAACATCTTTTGATTCACTGGTGTAAAATCATTTTAAAAAATGTCCAGCGATTTCTGTGACAGATTCAGAATGAGGAAAGTGCTATTCGAATATCTCTTTTCTACCTACTCGAAGTTAAAGACACACTTCAATGGTAGGCATAGAGTAACAAGAGGCATTCGATTCAAACGCACGCAGTTTTAATCGACACGCTGGTAATTAAAGTTTATATACGACCAAACGTGTAAAATGTAGATTCATATCTTTTTATCGAATCTTTGCTCTCTCGACTTATTATCATTTAAACGAATGACACTTTTCAGCGGGTGAAAAAAGGGGTTTCTGACGTGAGTATATACTTCTGTAGCAGAGATGCACAAGGAATTCGCTTTTCAGAAACTGTCTGGTTATGCTCCATCACTCTGGAAACTCTACTCACTGAAACATTATTTCCTCAATTAAATGTAATTCGATCAAATTAGTTTTCGGTTTATTCGACAGAGACTAATTAATATGAAAGTTTCAAATTTTTCTCGAAATTGATTTATAAATAGAGTAGAAATTAAACATAAATTTTACCACAAGTAAGAGAAAAAGCGATATTCGAGTGAGCCCCTTCGTATTCTGTACGTGACTCAAAACTTCTCAACATTTTTACAAGATTTTTCCATTAGTGAGATTTCATCTATCATCATACTCAATAGCAAGTTTTACAAAGCCATTAACAAATAGCAACACTTAAAAAAAGCGTCTGTCCTTTTTTCCCTATCAACTATGGTTGTTGAATTATATACAGCAAATATAAGAACATAAAAAGTGAGTGTGTCGATGCATATATACAAAAAGAAACGAGACATTTATTATCAGAAAAGCTTGGTTCTCAATGTTTTTTTTTGACTCATTATCTTACAGTAAAAAAGAAAAGAAAATTTTCATGTTATTTTTGCTTATTCTGTACAAATGGTTTATTAATGCTGTGGATTTGTATAATTCTGACAAACTGAGTATCATAAGAACGGAGACAAAGATTTACTATTCAGGATGGTGTAGCGTGTAAGAGGTAGAGTGAATATATCCACTACAAGAGACTTCGACTGCAAAATGGGCGCTATTTTTGCGATACTTGTCTCTAATGAAAAAAGATTTGCTATTTAAGTTTTGAATTCGACAGGTCGAAGATAAATTTTGTATATCCATGATGCGTATCGTCTGCAATAACCTTCTGACAGCTTATTTATCACATCCTCAATTCGATTGGTGTGCTCAATAGCAGATGTACTCGAATGTTTTGAACCCGCAATCATAAATAGCAAAGAGTTCAAATATCTGGACAGATGCAACTTTCAAGAAATGTCTTATACATCTAGATATGTGTGACAGCAAAAGAATTTTAGACTGAAAAATTTTTTGTGCGCGATCTTGCACGAATTTGAAAGTTTGCCCGTTTTTCAAGGCACTTTACAAGAAATAACCATATCTTAGAAGATTTTCTTAAATATTGCAGTTTTTTTCAACGGTTATCAAAACCGAACAGCTTTTCTCGTTCTGTTCAATACCGAAGGGGGAAACAGTCGTGGTTTTGCATATAATTATACTACAGAAACAACTCATCACTATTGAGAAATTTTCTACTAACGGGTAAAAACAACAACTTAATAATCTTTAGCTTTTGGAATCCGACGAGGTTCAAGCCTACTGAGTTTTGTGTCTCTGTCGCTTGCGTTAACAATACGTTTACTGTGGAAGTTTAAATCTCTTCAACTATTTTAAAAAATTGCGTACGTATTCCTATAGTAAACCTCTTGGTTTTTTATACCACATTAAGAATAAAAAATGAGAAAAAATCTTTGTTTTGACAACCATTTTGTATGCATGAACCTTACATGTAAACCTTACATGAAACATTTCTGCAACAGCTGTGAAGTCAAAAACGACGTAACTCGACGAGTTCTTTAAAACTAGACCGGTTTTAAGTGAAGCGAAAACAGTTTTATAAAATATGGGATTTCAGACGGACTTACTCAGACCCAAGTATTATGGAATATCTCAAAGTAATTTGTTGTTTCTCAGAAAATGCTTCTTATGATGTTTGTTCGTAGTAGATTCTCGTTAAGCAAAGGATTAAAAAGATACAAATGTCTAAATAACACCCAATAGGTATGTAAACAGACATAACTGCATGATCTTATCGAACACCTATAGACAACGATCACTCTTTGCAAATGTTAAACATATGAAATTTGCACATCACGATAAAGGTAAAGGTAGAATGCAATGCAGGCAATTTTTCACTTTAGAATACGGCCAAAAACCTTAAATGGTTAAAAAATCATGAAATTACAAATTATACTATAAAATGCTGAAAGCAATAAAAAGAGCTCAATTCGTTCGTTCTTCATCACGTGGAAATACTCAATACATTTTAAAAAAATATTGTATAATGAGTATCAAAATTTATTTCCTAAAGATAATAGAAACAAATGTGAAAAACATAAAACAAATGAAAATTTTGCTAGAAAAACAACGGGTATATCTTCAGCTGGTTTCATGATAAATACAATAACTTTGTTTAGGAAAATAACAACAACAAATTTTATGCGAACACAGCAAAAAAAAAAGAGTACATCACTGTACCTGACTGGTGATCATTTTATAAATTAAACAGTATCATTTTGATGATGACTGAGGTGAAAAATAGTCACGACAACGTTCATAAAATGCCTAAAACAGATAGCTTTGGTAAATGAAATGAACGAGACAGAAATTTTATACCTTTTCTGTATTGTCACTAATAACTTTTTCGATGTTCTTTTCACTTTGAATTTGTCGACGTTGATATACAAGATGCTTACGTTTGACTTCACTTAAATCCTTTTGATTCATTAAATCATTTGTATGATTGAGACACGCTTCTATAAGATCGTGACGATACGTAGAACGAGTTGTTATCTAAAAATAGAAGGATAATCTGTGTCGATTGAAGATAAACAGCGATCATAAACTAACTTCATCAAATAGGTCGCGACATGTTTGAGTTGGATTTGATCCCTTTGAATGAAATGTGGTTGTTAAAACAGTTGTGTTTAATGTGTTAAATATTTGATCATCCAGTCGACGAAACTCTTTCAAATGATTCTATGAAATATAAGATACAATAAAAAGAAACAAATTTTAAGAATAAGCAAATCAGGAATTGTGCCAACTCTCAAAAATCAGACATTAAAAAGAAATGATTCTTGACTTTACGTCTTCTGTAATAATATAAATTAGACGTTGAAAAAGTATAAGAAAACACTAAAGTGCACGTAAACTTCAAACAAATTAGAAAACCACGTACTTGAAATTGTAAATAATCGTCACATACTCGAAGATCAGGCAAGTTCTTCATCATTATAAACGACGAGAGGTAGCGGTCATTGTCATCTTAAACCAGTGAGAAGTAAATATTGATTTACAAAAAGAGACATATTAATAGATACGAGAGGTATGTGGTGTTTTTAATAAAATTTTAATCATACTGGAATCCACAGACTATCACCGCATTTTTCACGTTCTTGAGATATTCCAACATTTCATAATCTGAGGTTGAAAGACGCGTTTTGACGTGACGAGTATGTTCATCAACTGAAGACATCTTTTTAAAGTTGATCGATTATCCGATTACGAGGATCCGATCAATCGATTTGATGGTAGAAGGTAAGTTTACCATCTGCAATCTAGCAACGGAAAGTATAATAAGAAAGACGAGAAGCGAGTATTCATAGGCATCGTTTTCTTCTAATTTTTTCTAATAATTTGCAGTTATTACACTGTCCCAAAATGTTACGGTAAATGTGTAACAATGTCATTGCTAAAAGTGTTGAGGACAGTGTGCAAGCAAAGTAGTGTCGTTTCAGAATCTTTTATTGGTTCTCTGTTCATCCAGTCTAATATCTTGAATGATCTATGCTATACTCTTAGCTGATCATCCAATATTCGAAAATTAATACGCTTAATTGTAACAGATGAGCATAAAAGAAATTTTTAAAATGAAGTGAAAACTTTTAAGGCAGTAGCGATGTTTACTTTTCGTAATTTACACTCTTCGGTGTAGCGCTACACTACTTTGTAGGTAATTAGCCAAAACTCTACCAATCAAAGAGAAAACATAACTTCAGATTTAACAAAAAAACAACAAAAAATATTGTGCATAAATAGCACTTCAACTGCTACAGTAAATATATAATAATTGTAGTATTTTATCAATGAGTTTATTGTCCACGTTGGTTTTGTCTATAATATGGTTTAACCTCTGAAGCATCATTATTTCGCTCTAGTTTCGAATAAAAAAATGTGTCCCTAGAAAAAATTCCAGTGCGGCACTGATTTTTACTAGTGCCCCACTGGAATTTATTTAATCAACTTAGTTAGTTTTTTATTATAGTTGTTTATGCTGAGTTTTGTATTACTGATCAGGGGGGCGTATCACAAAAAAACTTAAGTTACGGGAAATGTAGTCTTAAAGTTAAGACCGAAAACTTAAGTCGGACTTGAGTCATTGACACATTTTTTGAATAGATTAGGCATTTAACGATACGATTCGACGAAAACGACATTCTGAGGATTAGAGAATAAATATTTCGTTATTTTGGGGGTTTTTATCCGAAGTTTGTCACTGTTGTCAACGACTTTTAAAAAGTAAACAAATCGCCAACTTAAGTCGGTGACTTAAGTTTTTTCGTGATACGACCCCCAGTACCACATTGACATGCCAAAACCATGCGGCATTGCCTCGGCACTTCTCTTATGAGAAGGAAAAGATGAAGTCGGAATAAAGACATTCGAAATATTAGAAGTAGACTGCAGTGTTAGTCGTTGACAACAGTGACAAAACAAAATGGTGATGGAAAACAAAACTTCGGCACTGGTGCGCACCGGTGCGAGATTTTTATATTGTTTCTGGCACTGGTGCGCACCTATGATCGGACCTGAAAAGAAACGGATCTACATAGAAATGCCATGAGCTGAAAACTACATAAATTTTGAAAAAGAAACTGATACAGTTTTCGGGGAAAGTTCAGCCAAACATCGATTTGTGACTTGTCTCAAAGCCTTCATCGGCTATACAAACTTTCTTTCGAAAAGATAAAGTTCCAAAGGATCTCCGGTCAGATATAGTCCATCTGGCCAAATGTAGTAATTGTGAAGATAGTTATGTGGAAAAAACAGACCGCCAGGATTTTCCTAGACTCCAGAAACATGGTGCTCCTAAAGACTTGTTTCAACAGGATGGTCTCAGTATACTCTCTAATGAAAAATCTGATGAAAATATGGAAAAGATATTCTGCAGTGAAGGGATGGAATTGGTCCTATAACAAAGAAACATCGAGCAGTTATAACACCGTACTCCAAGACGATCATCTAGAATACGAGATCAGCAGTCGCTGTTAACTTCTCAAATACAATTGTCTCAACAACTTACTAATCACGCTTCTAACAAAATGTATAATTTACATGATAGATCAGATGATGAACTAAGAAAACTTAAATCCTCACTAGCACAACACGAGAAGGATAAAGATAAAGTTAACACATCGTTGTTTTCTTATAGATCGCGGAAAGAAAGGAATATAACAGAAAATGACTACAAACTTTGACAGTGTTCAGTTCAAAATCAAGTGAGGCTGAGCCTCAATTAGTGGAAACCAGGTGAGGCTCGAGCCTCACGGATCTCAATGGCTCCGCCGCCACTGTTCTCAGTAGTAAATGTAATGTAATAATCAAATGATATAAAAGAAATCAATACTAACTTTTATCAATATTCTATAGAGATGTGAGAAAACTGTTCTCAAAGAGGATATGTGGGATATATAACACGCTGTTATGATGGCGAGTGAAAATTTCAGGCCTTCATATGTTAAAAGTTCTTGGGTACTTCATATAATAGGATACTGAATCATCAAAATTCCATAGGGAACACAAGATCACTATGGTATATGTCAGAATTTATTGGAACATATAGTAAGACGAAATGCGGCTTGTCCATACGTAACGCTGTTACGTTTTTAACACACTTTTTCTCAATTATCTCGGAAAGTTTGAGAGCTAGAAAGTCCGTTCAAACGCCATTCGACGCAGCTCATCATACTCTATGTATGCTGTAAAAACGAAGTTTTTTGGTTGAAGTTAAAACTAGATCGTAAAATGACACAAAAATTGATTAAGTTATTGTTCAACAGCAAACCTTCGGTCAACGGTGATTTTTATGGAAATAACAGACCAAGGTCTTTTATTTGGTTTTCATGTTGCATACTTGCCAGTGATCTTCTATTCTGGAAGGTGGTTTACATTCTTTTATTGATTCAATACTTGTTCCGGTATCATCAACAGAGATGGGCGAGTCCGAATCATGACTCGGACTCGAGTTACATTTTCCATGACTCAGACTCGAACTCGGACTCGAGGTGAAAGACTCGATAAACTTGATAAACTGACTCGAGTCACTTTCGAGTCAGTCATGTACAACTTGGAGTTGCTATTATGGTGTTTATTATATTTTTTATATACCAGAAGAGGGAGAGATTTGAGAATATTCTAAGTAGAACATTGCATCACATGAGAGGATTGATTCTATTCGAGCCACGATTGATGTGTTGGTACCGAAATTAATTTTCTGATGCATCGACAAAAATAATTGCATTCTCTTGTCTATAAAACAAGCTATTGAAGAAGTTTGTTTCACCCTTAGAATTAATATAAAACATGATCTTTTAGGCAAATCCAATTGAAATTGATGATTATTTGTTCCTGTTTTTACCTTATGAAGTGGAAAAAAGAGTTTATCTCATTTTGTGAAGAATGAGATCAATCGCACAATTTTCTATGCGTTTAAAAAACATCTAGAACAACCAGTCTTGGAAATAGAAACGGTCAGTTCGCATAAGACTTGAAACCAGCCTATCAACTTTTATCCTTCTGATGTATCCAAAACTCAGAAAAATCATCTTATTCGATGATTTCGACCCTTCTGAGCACTTTCGATTGAACATATCCAACGAAATCTACTCGAAAACAAACAAATCCCATAGCATTATCAGTATGACTGTAAAAATCGAATTTCTTCGTAACTATCCGGCATTTAACTAGTGAAATACATCATTCGATGCATCTTGAAAAGCTCTACAATATTTGTTAATAGGAAACTTAACGAAGCCCGACAGCGATATATTACGGAATATTACGGTAAGTTTTATGTTCTGATGGAGATTCTGGATATTTAAGTTAGATTTTTCTTTGCTAGAAATAGGACAACTTTTCTATAAATCCTAGTGACTCTTTTCAAGAAAACTACATGATTACGCATTATATCGACAAAAAAATAACGCTTGCAAAAACGAAAAGAAATAATTGGGAAAGTTTTATTTTTTGACGAGCGAATTTAGTCATAATCACCTCATGATCTCAAACTATAAACTTATTTTTTGACTTTTTTTATCTTAGTCGGACAATCAGAGTACAAATCACGCACACATCTATATTTAAATGTCTCCTAGTTTAATCAGTAACATCCTGTCTATCTCATTTCCACTTACAGTCTAATCTTACAAATTAAACAATTGATTTTCTCTGGAAAAGAAACATTGTAATGTATAGGATGATCATAGGTCATTTTTCTGATCTATTTATTTTGTTTTAATTCATAGTAAGTTACGAAATCATTAAAAAGATATATTTTAAGAAAAAAATTTTTTCTTTTTGAATGATGTATTGTACAGAAACCTTGATAGCGATTATTTTGTAGTTTGCCGAAATATATAAAGACAAAAAGAAATTAATTTGTTTTTTTTCTATAACAATAAATATCCATGAAACAATAATAACAATAGAAATTTATTAATTATTGATAAATGAGAAACTGATTGATTGAAAGAAAAAAAAACTTGTCGAAATGAGTGTACTTGTTTGTTTTGAGTCAGAGAAATCGATAAACACACAGTGAAACCAATAAGATCTTTCTCATTTTAAGTGTGGATAATTTGATTGTATAATCATTTTTTTTCTCTTTTGTAAATCAAGGATTAATTTTCTTATTCATTGTTGAAACAAGTTGTGTGTATCATTATGGAAACGGAAGAACCAAATCAAGACAAACTAACGATTTCCTTGTTTATTCGTCATTTGTCACCAGAAATATAGCTATACAATACAGGTATGTGTCCAATATTCAAAACACGGAAATGGATCAATGCCCTAAGCAAGCAGAAGAACTTTGACAGAGAAAATATAGTGTACAGAAGATCAAAAAATTATTCGTCCACCCCTGCACTATCTATCATTTTGTTTGCCATTTGTAAACCATACATGCTTGAGATTCGGAATTTCCACCATCGTGTAGAGCATCCATTTTGTTTTGGTTTCAAAAGAAAATAATTAAAAAGATATCGTTTGTGTTTTCTATATGAAAGGAGAACTGGATGAATTCCATTAAAAACTTTCATTAAAGTGTTTTTTTCTGGTACTTTCATTAAAAAATGTTTAGTAGGAGTTTCATTAAAATTTTTTGATGACACAAGAATTTTATCTAATATATATACATCGCTTAGAAAAAAGATATCTGTTTCACTTGGTATATTTATAGCTTAGTAGCTTACAGACATTTTTTTCCCGCTTAAATACACCTATTTCCGGGTCTTAAACATATATTCTGTTCATCGAACTTTCATTAAAATGTCTCCTGCAAAGTGACTGTGACCTAGATGTTCATAAAAAAATCCTGAGATCATAGAAAAAAAACTTTAAAAATACCTAGCCGAGAAGAAATTCGAGAAGAAATTCGAGAAGAAATTAATCGTGTCGATCAAAAAGCTTAGAAATATATGCTTTGGATAGTATTTTAATACATCTGGACTTATTATAGATCGAAAATAGCCGAAACATCCGCGGCCTTTTCCCTAGTCTTTCTTAGAAAACACTAGTCCATGCGGACAATTCAAAATAACCTCATTAATGGATAGATGACATCGAAGAGACAAAAAGAGAATTCGTTTCTGTCTGACCATATGGTACATGTAAAAGCTCAGACGTAAGTGTGAGTTGTAACAGAAAAAATAAGCATTTTGTTCAAATTTTCTGCCGAACATGACCGTACAGAACATATCTGTACAGAACTTACATTTTTTACTCAGATAGAACAAAAGCTAGGCTAATAAATCATTAGCGTGAAATGGGCACTACATTAAAAAATTCTCGACGAACCAAAGAAAAAGGGTATTAAAACCTGTGTGCCTGCTTTGTGCCAATCCTGTCTCATCTACATCTGACTGAATTAATAAACTCAATTTTGCAAATGGTTGAACAGGTTCGGCAGGAATTTTTTTATTTAGCGCCTAGTTCGCGCTAATGATTTGTTAGCCTAACTTTTGTTCTACTCGTTATGACCAGACAGAAACAAATTCTCTTTTTGTCTCTTCGGTGTCATCTATCCATTAATGAGGTTATTTTGGATTGTCCGCACGGACTAGTGTTTTCTAAGTAAGACTAGGGAAAAGGCCGCGGGTATTTATCTATTTTCGATCTATAATAAGTCCAAATGTATTAAAATACTATACAAAACATATGTTTCCAAGCTTTTTGAACGCCACGATTAATTTCTTCTCGATTAATTTCGGCTAGGTAATTTGAAAGTTTATTTTCTTTGATCTCAATAACCTGGAGGGCGAATCGTATCCTCTCATGTAGAAAACAAAAAACGACATCTTTTTAATTATTCTCTTTTAAAAACAAAAATAGAATGGAATTGAATGCTAGGAATAGCTGCATATAGACAAGATACGGTTCTCTACACGATGGTGAAAATTCCGAGTCTCAATGTATGATTTACAAATGGCAAACAAAATGATAGGGATAGTGTAGAGGTGGACGAATAATTTTTTGATCCAAGGTCTATTTGAGAAATATGTTTCTAAGTCGTTTTTCTATATAAAAAGAAACTGATAGTAAACTAGAGCATCGAGCGAGAGATTATAAAACAAGCGATAACTTCGTAGAAAAAACTCTTTCTTAGATCGACACATGGAAGTACAAGAATTTTATAATTAGTTTGTTGTTTGAAAGAGATTTATTGTTTCCAAATGAAATGTTTACAGGCTGTTTATTTAAACGTCTCGAGCTATGTTTTCAACTGACTTGTTATTTTTCTCGCTGTAATGTAGAGAGTTTCGAAAAACATTGTAAAAGAAGCTTTAGTCAAAGTGGTAAATTTATAACATATATATGTTTTTTCTCGCAGGCCAACCAATTGAGGAAGATATCGGGGTTAGAGTAAAATATCAACTAGAAAATAGTCTAAAGACAAAAAGTATGATTCCCTGATACATAATGTTTCGTCCTGAATTTATGTCTTGTCACATATGTAGGGATTTTGCTGATAAGAAGTTGAAAGTGTTAGTTAATAGAATAGAAAAATATCAGTTTTTACATATACCACATTTTCAGATAAATTGTAGTGACATGGGCAATAGTATCATATCCAAGAAATCTATGTTAAAAATGGATGATAGTATAATCACATTATACCATTTACATAATTTCAAGGCGGAGATCTATCAAAGAGGAACGGAAAGAGAAAATTAAGATGAAGGTTTGAATAAATTGCCCATTGAAGAGGATTTTGACTTTTTATTTCATTACATCAAAGCAAAATAGTGATAATTATTTGATTAGTAATGCGGTGTTTCTAAAAAAGAAGCGAAGGTAGATTATTATGTTTCTATCCATAATAATCCAGGTAAGTGAATACTCTACTTTGTCTGTAATTCGACTTAGGTAATAATCTTATGTAGCATTTTATTAAAAAGAAAAAGAAAAGAATTTCTCAATAATACAGATCGTAATTTTTATAAGGCTTTTGAAATCAACGGAGGAACTAAGGTAAGACGTTGAATCTTCTTGTTTAGCTTTCGAACTTTAACAATTGTCTAGTCTCTGTTAAACATGATTTTAGATTTTCATAGAGAGTGCATAATATGAGAGAGAATTTTTTAGCTAAAGCTTTTTGAGTAACAGAGAATCGATTCTAATTTCAAATTTTTTCACTACTGATACGATTTGATGGAAAATACTTACAGTGTAATTTTAAATATTTAGAGAAAAACAAATCCTTTTTTCATTATAAGACAATATTCATTTTTACCATGATCAAATTTTACGTTATATTTATTATTGCATTTAACATTTGTCTTTTTAATTGTTATACAATTACGCACATGCAGGTGAGATTTGAACTTAAATCTTGTACACAACTATAGGTGTATATTACAAGCGTATTTTATTTCTATTTTAAGATGCCCCTTTGGTCGGATACGGAAGAACAGCCAAGTAGTTCTGACGATATTCTCTCGAAATTGTTTCATCCAGATGATAGAAGGTATGAAACATTATTAGCAGAACCAACGTCAAATGTTTTGAGTTATGATCAACAACTTGTAGAAGAACAACAACGTCCAAGAGAACTACAAAAACGTGGAAGACGTACGTATTTTATAGTTCATCGAAAAGATAGCTCATTAAAATTATATTTTTTGCTCATTTTAGAATGTTTATGGAAAGTATGCAGTTGGGCATTGGATAAACGAGCACTGAAAGTATTATATTAAAAATAATGATTTAATATTAACAAAGCATGGAAATTTTTTTTGTAAAATCTTTTAATTTTAAGTATAATTTTATTCTGTGAAACTCTGAAAGTATCAGTTATATATAATTTTCTATCATTTTTGCTTTTAGGTAGCTACCGTACGTTTTACAAGATAGCGTTTATCTTTTTTCTGAAATAAATTCTAGGATACCATGCACAAAATCTTAATTCTCAATTGGATACCCTGATACGTTGGGGCGAGCTAATATTTTCAATAAAATAAGAACGTTGTGTACCTTTATGAAATATATATGAATAGTTGTACAGAGAATATGAGATATACAAAAACTGATATGCATTTCTGTTTTGGCTATTTTCATTTAAACTGTTTTGATCGATATTTTATCATACCCAAGTCGAATAATCCTATGATAGAATCCTATAGAATGCTTGTAAGAATCTCTCAAAAACTCTATAGAGATCCTGTAACCTCAGAAAGGACCTTATAGGATCGAGGATAAGATTATGAAGGATCCTAACGTAGAAAATGTTAAGAATTTATTGAAATTCAGTAGGGTCATATCATAAGATTCTTCGACCAGTCAATCTTGTTCTTCATTTCATACAATATTTATTTAATTTCGGTGTCCCATTAGAACGGAAACCAGCCCTGATTTTCTGATCACTTTGGCAGACATCTCTGTCAGCTGAGCTTTATTCTCTGACACAACTGTCGAGAACACTGAGAAAAAATGCTCAAAAATGTCAGTCTAATGCATGTTGATTTCTAGAGTTGGAATCCTATGATTTCTTACTGTACGATCCTATGAGGTCCGTACGATTTTCTTTCGTAGGGAACTGATAGAATCATGGTGTATGAATTCCTACTTTTTGTGATAAATATGACAGGAGATGTGAATGAAGTTGTTATTATCATTTACATTTATCCACTTTAAGCTTCGCCACTTAATTCGTTACTGCAATATGCATTGTGGAACAATAATTTGCTGGAATAACCTGACTTATAGGTGTGGGAATGATTATTAATTTCAATATCGATACGATTTAAATATTCTACTACGTTATTTATAAATACTAATGCAATCACTATTTATTATAGAGAGAAATAAATCACCTCGTTAATTGGCATAAACTTCGTGTCTTGTTACATCATATTTTACCTCTGCCTACTTCCTGCTGATAGACTGCAAATATAAATAGACAGTGCTAATGTGAAGAATATTAGGGTGAACATCGATGTGCTTAAATAAGTCAATATAGTTATTATTGTGATGAGATCATCATTCATGTTACGGTAGATAACTGTAAAGGTGCAAGATAAAAAACAATGTTGTGTATATCAAGAATATCAGGGTTAATATGACACTTGGAAACTGTTTGAGATGCATGAAACCATTATTATCATCCAGTACGAAGATTGTCTATCAGCAGGATGTAGGAAGAGGTAAAATATGATGTAACAAGACATGAAGTTTATGCCAATTAACGATTGATGATTTATTTCTCTCTATAATCAGTAGTGGATACATTAATATTTATAAATAAAATGATAGAGTATTTAAATCGTATCGATTGTATGAAATGAAGAACAAGATTGACTGGTCGAAGAATCTTATGATATGACCCTACTGAATTTCAATAAATTCTTAACATTTCAAAAAGAAGAGTTCAAAGAAAGAGTTCAAAACAGCCGTATTAATTACTTTATTCTGGATTCTATCATAGGATTATTCGACTTGGGTATAGTAAAATGTCAATCAAAACAGTTTAAATGAAAATAGCCAAAACAAAAATGCATATCAGTTTTTGTATATCTCATATTCTTTGTACAACTATTTATTTAAAAAAAATGCTTATGAAACTTTCCGCGCATCACAATTTTTTATGCTATTCTACTCTACTCTCAATGTACTTGTTAGAACTTTCATTTAAGTACCATCAATGGTATCCAATACTTTTATAATACTTTAAAATACTTTTAAAATAAAGGATGTTTGTTTGAAATGGACATAAAATTTAGATAATTGTTTTTCACTTTTGTTTTACTTGGCGCTTCAAATTCATGTAAATGTTGACCTGTTTTACTATTCAGTTGTTTTCCATTATTCTGTTCATTTTCAATGTGCGTACGATGGGATAATTTCGAATTGTTTGTACTTGAGGCTGTTGAATTTGGATTATATTTTCTTACTTTTAGTGTATCCTGAACACATTTTAATTTTGATATATATTTATCATCATTGACATGACGAATAAATGCGTGTGTGACACGATCACGTTCTTTCATACGTAAACGATGAATATTTTCTAATAATTTTGTTGTTTTACGATTTTGTCTTTGATATATTTCTAACTGTTCTAATGTTAAACGTGAACGATTTGAATTTCTTAAAATGTCAGAATAATGATCTTGATCATAGTCCGAACGATCAATATAGTCACTCGCAGACATATTCTAACTCAAATTTATAAATTACAAGTGAATTTATTTATATTTTTACAAAAAAAAACGCATCAATTTCCTTTTGCATTGATTTCTTGGTTTTATATTTAATAAAAAATATCTAAAATTCTTTTCATTGTAAGACGTTTTGTGTGTGAGTACATTGGTAATAAAAATAGAAAGAATCAAAAAAGAAAACAATAATGTGTAAAGGACAAAAAATAATAATCGGAACATATAAGTGAAACTTTTTTTTTAAAATTTTTTTATTGATTGAGTATCATGTAGTGTACTGCACGTGTATTTTAATTAGAAGCCTGTCATATACAGTTGCAAAAACTATAGTATATCTGTAAAAGTAAAGTCTGACAATTATTATACTCAAAACAGATTAATTAATTAAAGTCAATGCATTGAAATATCATATCATTGATGTCTAAAGTCTAAAAAATATTTTTCAAGAGGAATTTGATAGAAATTGAGAACATGTACGTCTATTTTATATGTTGTGTGTTTACACAGAGCTGCTCATAATTTTATGGAATTGTACACATTACAACTTTGTCTGTAAAACAAAAAATAATAATAGTTTTATTCACTAACTAAAATAATATGAGTAAGAAATAACTGACAGAAGGATAACGACAAGTCGTCCTAAAGTCGTTACAGATTTTCAATGAACAAAATTCTATGAACATGTAGAACAGTTAAATAAATAAAAGTATTTGAAATAAGAAGACAAGTGACTACTCAAACGTTGTTTAATTTGCTCTTTTAACTTCTTTTAATGAAGTTGTTCTATTCAAAAAGCAGAGTGGGGATTTTAATACATATAGACAACTAAGATCAAATATTTATTTATTTATTTATTTGAGTCAACACTAAACAATCTAAAAGGTTCAAACTGAAATTTATCAAATGATTTTCGATCTTAATGTCACTATCATCCAATGCATGAGGATTTAGCATCATTGAATTCTTAAAATACGTACACATATAAAAAACGTTTGTCGATCAGTTGCTTTAATCCACTGGATTAACAGCTGATAAAATTCTCCTTGTAACTCTGTTCGATTTTATTGGTTTGCATTGATGAATGTTGGAAAAAAAAGGACTTTTCATTTATAGATAACAACTTTTTCGTTTTTTTCGACAATTTATTATCCAATCGAAAATAAATTTGCATGTGATGTTTGCGTTTTGCAGCCTTTGAAAAGTACACTGTTATCTTGAATTAATTTCCAGTTTATACAAAATCGACCAAAAAATCGTCGGAGATTTTCTAGTTTATAGAAATTCCTCGACGAATTTCCAGCTTTCTAGAAAATGTTGATTTTCTACTTTTTAGAAAATCCACTTGAATTTCCATAAATTCGATTTTCTAAAGGTGGAGTATCGCTGAGGATTTTCTATAAACTGGAAAATCCCCGACGGTTTTCCAGTTTATAGAAAATCAGAATCGAATTTCCAGATTCTTGGAAATTATTTATAGAAATTCGATTCTGATTTTCTATAAACTGGGCAATCGCTGGGGATTTTCTAGGTTATAGAAAATCCTCAGCGATTCTCCACCTTTATAGAAAATCGATTTTCTAGAAAGTGAAAATTCGCCGAGGAATTTCTACTTATTCATCTTTTTGTTCTGCAATCAGTGTAGGTATAAGAGCGTCACATGAAGACACTCATATTATACTTAAATCAGCTTTGACAGTTTCCACTTTAGATCATAATTCTGCCTATACCGGCAAGAATTTTGATTTAGACAGAGACAACGGTGGTGCGAAGTTTCAATGGGAAGGTCCCTAAATCGGAGACATTCACCAGAAATTTCTCAAAAGCATCAGAGGGCGGGGTCAACCCTAATACAATCTGGCCGCGCCGTCACTCGGTGCAGACCCGTCAAGGAATTTCCAGTTTATAGAAAATCAAAAGGAATTCCTACTTTCTTGGGAATTATGTATGGCAATTCAACGGCGATTTTCTAGATTTTTGAAAATTCGATTTTCTATAAACTAGAAAATTCTCGAGGAATTCCATAGACAGTCTTTGAAATTCGCCGAGTATTTTTCATAAGTAATTTCCAACCTCACAGTGTACTATGTTCTTCCAGCAACTACAATTTTCCAAGGCATTATTGAGTATCTGAAAATTTCTTTTTGTGTTTAACACACAGTGGGTAATTTTCATAGGCACATGGTCTTTTGGCCTGCAAGCTAGAGGAAAACTTAAAAGCGCGTTTTTTATAGATTAACTTGTGTGCTCTATCTAATAGAATGCTCTTCGAGTTCTAAAAAGGTTTTCTAAGTTGTTTCCAGATATCCGATCTCTATAAAACCACTTAGAAAACCTTTTTGGATCTGATGATAAAAGACAAAGAATTTTGTGTAGATTTTATTGATATGTTCTTTTTTAAATAAGCGTGTACCGTTCGTTTATAGCATTAAAAGTATTGGATGTTACAAAAACATCATTTGCTCAGCACTTGACTAGAATAATATGTCATTTTTATTTGCTAAATAATTTTCTATATGCTATTCAGACACACTATGAAAAAGTACAGAAACATATTTGCATTTGAGACACAAAACCAAATTTTTGGACTGAGCTTACTATGGTGAAGGACTATACCGATGATTCATACAGCCCAGATCGACCAACACGCCAGCTTTAAAAATATATAGAGCTTTTTTTAAAATTTTGTTTCGTTGCTAAGAAAATTCATTTTTTCTGAATAAGAGGCGAAAAATTCGGAATTTTGCAGATAATTCATAATAAATGAATTTTCTCAGCAATGAAACAAAATTTTAAAAAAAGCTCTAAATACATTTTTAAAGCTGGCGTGTTGGTCGCTCTAGGCTGTATGAATCATTGGTATTCATCCAAATAACTAGATAGATTTACAGAATGTGTCGCCAGGTTCTGACACCTTTCGATTCGGACGTCCATGGCGTATGAGTACTTACCTCTAAAATGAACTGAAAACCTTTTTCTAAATTAGTTTTCAATACTGATTCAGAAAAATATAGTTCGAACCTTCCATCTTGCAATACAACCTCAAAAAACCAATTTCATCATAGAGAACGGTTTTTTGTATTTTTGAGGTTCTCTCAGTAATTTGAGTTTGTCTCCACGAAGAAATAATTTTTGGAGGCTTGAAAGGCGTTATTCATGATCAGTTCGTTGAACTGAATCCGAATATATATAATAATGTCAAAAATAAATTCCACTGTAAGTTTGCATTAGTTGCACCTTACTTCTTCTAATAACTATTATTTGATAGAACAACACCTGAATACTTATGCCCATTTGTGCTGCCAAGACTAGCTGTGCCTCATTTTTTTACGTAAACGAGCCACATTACAGAAAATACGATTAAATTCTATTACAGCCAATAGATCTTTTTTTCATACACAACAAAAACTGGATATACCTACTATCTACTGGTAAACAATCAGTTTTGAAGACATTTAAAAATTCTGTTTTAGAGCATTTTAATTGCAAATATTTTCATCATTGCATGTACGTCATCAAAAGGACATTAGAGATTTTTTCCTTCAGAAAGGGTTTGTAAGCGTTTGCCTAACTGTGCACTGTGCGCTGACAGTCTAGAATAATATATAAGATATTTTCTAATATCTTTGTATTGACTCTATAAGTATTAATGTAGTATCAAAACTAGGCACACGTCAAAAAGCGCACCACTAATTGAGAAAGAAAAAGTTAGTTTTCATTTTGTATGAAGATTAACTGACGTAGATTTATGTTTGCTGAGCAGCTTGTTTGACCGCTAACCATCTTCTCATCACTGGAGATATCAAACGTTCAATGAGTGCTTCATACGAGAGTCCACGCTCTTCTGCCATAATTACCAGACTGCTAGCATTACTATTATCTATAGTAGGAAGCACGTTCAACTCAAGAAGATATATATCTCCATTGGAATCAACACGAAAATCAATTCTGGCTAAATCTCGACATCCAAGCGATACAAAAACTTTCTTGGCAAATATATTTATTTTCTCCAATTGATCTTTGTGTTCGAATACAACCGGGCAAACTTTTTGTAAATGTTTTGGTTCAGATGTCATCTTGGATTCAAATGAGTAAATCGGATATTCCCCTGCCCCTCATGTAACAACATATTCCACTGGACCAATAACAGTCAGCTCATCTCCATCATCAAGAATACCTATCGAACAATCTTTTCCTTCAATAAATTCTTCACACAATATTGGTTGACGATATTGTTTCCATTTTGCAAAAGCCACTGATTCCATTTGTTTATGATTCATGACAATTGAAGTCTGGTCTATCCCTTTTGAACTGCCTTCATGATTTGGTTTAATAATAACGGGAAATCGAAGTCCACTTTCGATTGTAGCTTCTCCATTATGAACTCGATAGTTAGGTGTAAGAATTCCCTCTTGAATCAACAGTCGTTTAGCTAATGTTTTATCGTGCGTTATTGCCGTCGATGTGGCATCACTGAATGAATGTTCAATATTGAAAAAATCACAGATAGCAGGGGTTATTTGTTTATTACACACAGTTCGACAATCTCCTGTAGCTGTTGTTCTCAATAATAAACGGACGTTGGACGATCCTAGAAGTTGTTATCCCTAGGTGAGCTAAAAGCGTCAATATTCGTCATGTAGTTCTACCAAAAATAGAACCACTCATTTCGCCTATTTTTTCTGAAAGATGTTCTTACAATATACGTTGTTTGTTAAACTCTTCTTTTTCTTTTCACAATATGTGAACAGTCGTACCGGAACTTGTGATTCCCGAGTTCGTTTATTTGAACATTCAGCAATATTGAACACAACATCGATATTATGTTTAAGAAGATTATCGATCAATGCTCTGTCAGCTTCAATTGGCGTTACATTGCTATAGCCGAGTTTCTTAACTGTTGACAAAAGCGTGTCAATTGTTGTTTGTGAATCAAATTCGGCTTCTTCGTCGTTATCACAAGGTAATCGTTTTAAGTTGTAGACAAGTGCTACATTAACGGTTGAAGCAATTGATCTCAACGATGATTGCGATCGTACAGAATCTTCATCGTTATTTGATGATGGTGCTATTTTGGAATTCATAGTGTACGCAGTAGTTAACGTTTTAGCGTCGTCCTAAATATGAATATAACAAAATGGTGCTAACTTTGTACAGTAACAGAAGGAGAATAGTTTTTTGGGAAATGTATCACGCTCAAATTGACTTTCTGCCAATCCTTTGAAACCTACAGAACTTGAATGTCTGATAGCAAATATCACGTTAATAAATTTTAAAAACAACTGCAATGATATTTCCTTCATGGAATCAAATCAAAAAAAGATAACAAATGATACATTCGACGCGCCATTTCAAGCTCTATTCGATGAACTAACTGTCACTGAGAATCAAAAACAATAAATGCTAGAAAAAAGTTAATTTTTTGAAGGTCATCTTGGTTTTCAAGGTCTGCGTCATTCTAGAAGATTCCGCAGCATGGCACGACATATATTTCTCATGTACTAGGCCTAGGCTATCAGAAAAACAGGTTTTCATTTTAAATTGAGATCTTTGAAACAGTCAAAATTCTGTCGTATTTTTGCTGGAAAATTTTTTTTTCTATAGGTGCTTTTAGTACGCTCGATAGTTGAAAAGTCGCGTCGAATGCGTATCTTGTTGCCTTGTTTTGACTTGATTTTGTGTGGAAAATACGATTTATAAAAAACAGTCTATTTTTTCAGCGATCGTTTTAAAAAATTTTCTGGAACTCTCCCTAATATTTTGAAATTTGCTGCCTGTTAGAGATTCTATGTCCTACATATACAGATTTTAATCTGGCAGTTCCAGCTCAAAAAATGTGTCCTTAAAAAATGCTGAAAATACAAAAAGTCTATTGTACTGGAGGATGGGTGAGAGACTACCGTGCAGTTGTTTTAAACTTTTTAACGTGATATTAGTCTTCACGAGTTCAGATTGTACTAGTCTCATAAAGTTTGATATATTTTCAACAGAATTACCTAGAAGCTTTTTTGTCAGTTGTTATGAAAATTCAAGTACAAACACACAGAAATCTGGTTGCACGTATCTTTTGTTTTTACTATAAACCTTGATATTTATATAATCTAGAAGAGAAAAGTAAATAAAAATGAAGATTGTTCAGCCAAGAAAGAAGAGAGTACAAGTTCGATATTATTTAAATATGATCCTCTATCGTTCTTATCCCCAATTCGAAAAGGTCTTGGCAACTCAGAAAAATGTCAAGTTTGTAGATGAAACTAAACACCCTAATGTCTTCAATATTTTCGTACGAGAACATCCGAAAAAGCGATTGTGCGGGATCCTAATAGAAGCACCATAAAAAGAAACATGTATCATCGTGAATTTTTTATCAATAATGTTTTATCTGTTTATGTAAAGCCTTCGAATAATGAATGACTGCTGGTCAAAACATAAATAGAATAAAATAAATACATAAATAGTGATAAATAGAATAAATAGAATATATTAGATAAAAATTTAAACTTTTTTCTTCACTACTTTTCTTTGATAGTTACTTCTTACTTGCAGTTAGTGAATGCAATCGAGAATCTACACATTTCACAATTATAATTAAACTGAGTAAATGTGTTTTACCACTGTATGATATGAACAGTATTCAAAAAATTAAAAATATATTCATAACTGATTCATCGCTTATTTATAAAATTGATGGGACGACAAGTATGGTAGTTAGCAAGTAACGGATACGTCATAAAATTTGGACCCCTCTATATTCTAATTTGTTTTAATAGATAATCTTTGAACTTCTCTACAAAATCCTATATTTAAACAGTCTGTAAGATGTTATTTTTTGACATGACAAGTTTTTCATTAAATTTCTTCTCCAATTTAGTATAAATGTAATTGTTGATAAGTTCTATCCTCTCAATAACAGATGTAAAAGAAAATGCTCCAAAGGTTCAACGTGTATGTATCAAAAACGAAATGATACAAAGTCTCTACTCCACATCGTTACATCTGGTACACATTTTTTTATTTGATAGACAATTGTACAAGCAAATAAATAGGGTTACTGATATACCGCGGAATAGAGCGTTCAAAGTTACCCATGAGTCCAAGTTTTACATGTTAGAACCAAAAAATGAGTGAGTTATGAACTTTTTACGAAAAATCCTCATCAATAAAATCGACTTATATTTTGATTTTGTCATGTTCTGTTCTCTATTTTAAATTCTATATAAGCTGAATGAGTAGAAAAAACTGAGCAAGGCAGACTAACTTTAAGAAGTTCAGTTTAATATCAAAAAGATTAAAAATTATTCAAATCCTATAATGCAGCTAAATCGTACTATACTAAAATAATTTTAATGCAGTTTGCAGTGCGATCAGTTCTCTACAAATGATATCTGTACAAAAAACTTTAAATTAAAATGGGGCCCCTGCAATGAGTCTAATGAGTATCACCTATCAACTCTTTTAAAATCTCTTTTGACTCAAATTATTTCATCTTGAAAGAAAATTGATATTGATGATGATCTACGACATGCTTAGACTAGTATCTGAGCAAAACTCTCATTTAAGAACTTCATTTGTTTCCCAATTATGGTGAGGACCATCTGTAACCGATGCATTCACAACTTTTTCTTCGATGTAAGTAATTTAAGTAAACTTAATAAATGTTTTCATTTTAAAAGTATCAGACCACTTCCAACTTTGTTCCGATGAAAGAGTTTGATCGATATTACAGGACAGCTGTAAATGGGATATTTGAGAACTTTCCTGTGATAATACTGTTTTGTTTTTTTTGACTTTTGGTCGAATGTGGCTGTCTATTGTTTCCTAATACGAATCGATGTTGTTCTTAATAATTTTGTCTTGCATAAGAACAAAAATGTTTGTCCAAGATACCAGTAAAACATAAAAATGAAGACTTTTTTATCATTCTGTTCTTCATTTCACGTTGAGAAATAATATTATATCCACAGTGTATCGTTACCAACAATGGTAAGGTTAGAAAACAAAACAAAAAGAACTTTTCATAAATCATCAATATAAACTAACTGAATCGTTTCGCTATTGGCTTAATTACCAAAGTTTGTTTTTTCATTTTTTTTATACAAAAATGGTACTGTTACAATATTCCCCCTTCTGTTTAAAGAAATGTCCTATCCCTTGTTAGCATCACCAAGATCAAATGGACATGTTGTTGCACCAAGTGCTGCCCGTACAAACAGACATGTGAATACGGAAAGCAGTTATTGATTCAGTTTGTGTCGATCCATTCCTTCAGAATAATATTTGTAACATGAACGATAAATACGAGCGAGTAATGCTATTTATGACACTGTTTCAGCTAATGAATCTTTTCTTATTTCAACGGATGCACTAGCATAGCGATCATTTTTGATAAACTTTAATTTCGAACATTTTCTCCTACAGTATAACTCATCAACAGAAAAATATGCAACAGACCATTGTAGTAACGACCAGCTTGTCGGTGAAGTTTTCTTTTCGCAAAACTGTAATTCCGATGATATGCTATCATGGGGCAATTCATTAACAACTTCACAACTTGTAAGCAGTTGAACAAACAAACACGCTGTTGGTGAGGCGATCTCCTGTTGCTTGCAGAATAAACTATTGAAAATTTGAAAGAAGTCTAACTTCGCCTAATCAATCTTCAATCCTTCTTTTGGGTCCGGCATCGGTAATTCGGGTGTCCTCGATTGTTGAGAGAGATAAAGCTTTATTTCATAAGGTAGAAAATGAAAAAATCATATTGGACTTGAAGCCCCCTACATGGTTTACATAGGTTTATTGTAATTACAGTTTTCTATGGTCAAGAATTATTTTTCTAGCTTCTGTAATATCTGGATGAAGGAAGTTCAATAGTCTCGCAACGTAGGACTTTTGTGATTCTTGTAGCTGTTGAACATGTCTCGTTAGTTGTCCCTGAGGAAGATATGAAATAAAAGGTAGCTACTACTATTCTATTTATGGATAAGCATTTCTAGGAAAATTCTTTCCACCGACCTACTTAAATAACTGACATTTTTTCCTTCTAGTCTTTCTACCTAAAATCATCATCTTTTTGCACCATATCTAATATCTGAGGGGAAAAAACAACACAAGTTGTGTACCAGTACTAAACGTTAAGCAAACCACAAATAGTTAAAAGTGAAAAAAGGTTCCCCAAATCAAAAAGCAGCTTTCAACGAAAGAACGTGATCATGGATCATCAACATCACGCATGACTTTAATCGCATTTTGTGATTTGCAATAAAAAGCTAGACTTAATACAAAAATGAAAAATGTAAAGCAGAAATCAAAATCAGAGATAGTGAAATCTAATTAAGTGACGTATGGCAAAAAATTAAGAAGAAAAAAATATTTGACATTATTAATCAATGATTTGTTACTGTCGTGTATAGGAAGGAGAAAAAAAAGTACAAAAAATCATGAACTAACTGACTTCATAAATATTTTAAATATTGTACATATATAAATATTATATAGGCCACGCTTTATTCTGAAGTCAGCCATTGAACTAAATCATGCCCATATGAAAAGAAAATATGATTTCTTAGAGATAGTAGTAACAAAAAGAAAAAATAGTGCTGATCAAGAGTTTTTTTCCAGCTGAAAATAAAAACCATTAATAATTTTCCATACTTGATCTCTAAATAAACTGATTTTCATTAAATTAGATCTTATTGGACAGTCCATAAAATAAGTAAAATGATGACATAAAATCTAAAGAAACGAAAAATAAAGAAGCAACATGGGTAATTTTTTCCCATAGTCATATATAGTTTTAGTTATGGATTACTAGAATTTCGATAACCGAAATTTCACCACCAATAAAAATTATACAACTTTAATCATCGTAGTTTTTATTTGTATTGTCCCAACTCCATGTGGAATTTAGACAATACATTCACATCAGTTGGAACTCTAATGAATCACTTATACCTTCTATAATCTCTTCTCGTGGTTGTTTTCTCTTCCGCGTGGTGGCACTGTATTTACAAGCCTTTGATATTTTTGGGCTTTCCTTTGTTACGAGATGTTTTCTTGGGCATAAAATAAACTTTCAAGTTCAAGCTCAAGTTCATATCTCAATTAATATGACATCGAATTGTAGGATTGTGAGTAAGAAAAATTGCTGCTATTGATCAAAGAAAATAAACTTAGCTGTGTTACTCTTCAGTTACTAGTCAGTAATTCTTTGTGTTAACTCAAAAAACATGAAATCTGTGCTTCTACTACACACTACACTTGCAACTCACGTGATTCAATCAATCACAAAAAAGACCTTTTCAGTAATTTATATCAATTTAGTAGCAACTAAAGTGATATTATAAAAAGCAAAAAAAAAAGAGTTTGAATACATGCATCGAAACGCGTATGGTTACAAACGTGTTTCAGGCGCGTTTTGATGCGTCCAAATATTTCATTCTAGACGCGTTTGAGACATACAAAATTTTTACAGGGATAGTGATCAGATTTGTACTGTTAGTAGTCATTATTAAGTACCCATGTGAATCTTACTTGATGTTAGTATTATCTACTTAACAAACTCTATCCATTGATTGTATCAGATTTTAATTCAAGACTGTCAGTAGGTGTTAGTGTATTTTGCAAATACCCGATGATTTTTCATTTGAATAAAAAGTAAGAGAGATGGACCACTTTTTTCAAGCATAAACGTAGCCAACTCAAGCTTAAGTATTGAGATACAAACTCTATCAAATATATATGTTACGATAAACACTTGTCTCCTGAACACAAAGATATGCTGACTGAGGAAAATCTCATATTTTCACTGATACAAGCATGGTGTACGGACTGGTGGATATCTTTTTATATAGATTTAGACGTTTTATCGAGAGAAATTATTAGTTCTTAAATATTATTTCAACGAGAAAAATATAGCCCTCAAGGTGTATTCAAATTTTGTGTGTTTTCGCACTTTTTTGAAAGTTGCTGTAAAAGCGTCATAAACTCAATGAATACTCTCTCTATAGACAACAGTCGAAAAATTTTTAAAATTAAATGCCGTTGTACTTAATTTAGTAGTATGAAACTTAGATGCAGAATACGTGTAGTGTTATCTTTTTTTTATTTTCGTCACTCAACATGGTTGGACTTATAAGTTATCGGAATTAATCAAGCGTTGCATATTTGTTGTTGAGAAAAAAATGACATAAAAAACTAATTTGCCTCTACATTGACGATAACGAGTATATACAAAGCAATAACGATCGATGACGAATACGGCAGTATTAGTAATATCTATTAGATTTTTATAAAACCTAGTGGTATTCTGTTTAACAGAAACTAATATGCTGTTTAAAAAAGCGAAAGAATTTGTTAGTGATATTTATATTAGTCTAATACACCGAGAAAACAGTAAATGTGTAAAAATTCTAAAAGCAATCGATGATAATAATATTGATGATTTACAAAATATACTTTCACAATTAGCACCAAAAGATATCGAAGATTATATCAAACGGCCAGTTGATTCATCAAGACGAACACCATTGCATTATGCGGCCTGGGCAGGTTTGTATTATGAACAGTATCTGTTGCAACCCCGATATTTTCGGAAAGATGTAGTAAAAAGAGATAGGAGATTTCTTTGACTTAAGACCGCCTTCTGAATCCTGAATCATAAGCATTTTACACGACAAATAAAAAGTTGCTTTAGAAACATGCAAAAATTATTAGATACACAAGTTTCTTAATTCTGCTGTTGAGATAAAATATTTTCAAAAATAGTTCAGGAATATGACTGTCCACTGTTCACTTTATATCTACCTCATTGCACGAAAAATGTGTGATATGTCGAGTAAAATAAAAAATCGAATAGCGGTCGATTTACCCATTTCGAAAAAAGTGAAATTCAGCCATCTCTTGGATAGTTTCTTAACAAAAATAGATGGAGACCTGGCGTTTTCACCATTCGATAGAAGAAATCGGGATATGTACTTTCATAAGAAAAGTCTAAAAATGCTTTTTTGAAGTCGGATTTTGAAGAATCTATGAGAAACTAGTTTTGAATACGGCAACTTCTTATACTAACATTTTGTTTTTTCTCATGGATGGATAACCTGAATTGTTTTCTATAAAATGGAAGTCAAGCAAAATCTTGGTTTTTCGAGTTTAGATTGAGCATTAAAAGTCCCTCAAATCCCACGACTGGTACCTGGGTAAGTGAGGTGCCTTTAAAAATGTATGAAAACGCAGCTTATCGAATTACACTGAATATCGTGGCTATGTTATGTTTGTCTTTACTACAAATTTTAAAAATCGAGTTACTCCAGATGAAACAACTCATTTTAAGCTCTCTTCATGAAAAACTTGTGACTTATTCACAGTTGGGCCAGAACATTTAAAAGTTCGAAAATTTACTTCCTGTTAGCTGTTTTACACTTTCATAAAATCTGTAACGCACTACACTCATAGAAGACATCTTAAATCTTCAGACATTTTGTTGAAAGCTACAGTATTACACATAAATCCTTTTCACATCAGAGTATCTATAAAGCAGATAACATAAAGTATATATTCTTCGCTTTTTATTTAGAAAATCCAGATATTCTTGATAGTTTGTTAAAATATTGTGATCAGCCAGATATTGAAGATAAAACGGGTGCAACACCGATGATGTTTGCAGTCGGTGTTAGCGGTGGATGTCTGGCAAAGATCAAATTATTAATTGAAAAACATGCAAATGTAAATAGAAAAGATAAAAATGGTTGGACTCTGTTACATGCAGCTGTTAATTCAAAACGACGAGGTTTGTTCTAAAATTCTTAAACGAACTAATTTACACAAGCTCATGATACCATTTCAAAACTGATATCATGGGCTTCTGCCTCTTTCCTTTTTATGCTGTATTTTTTTTCCTCTTGCTCAATAAATACAGTTTAAACTAAACAATTTACATTACTTTTGTTCTCATTAATTTTAGATATTCTGGAGTTGCTGGTAGCTAATGGTGGTGATCTTTATATGGTTGATGCTGATGGACGATCGTTATTACATATTGCATGCGATAATGGTGATACACACTTAGCAAAATATTTAATTGAAAAAGGTGCTGTTCTCACAAGTGTCGACAGAAATGGTTGGACTCCCTTTCATGTTGCATGTGGACCAGCAGACGACTATGAACTTGTTCATCATTTGATACAAGTTGGAGCGGATCCAACACTCAAAGACTTTAAAGGGTATACGCCTCTGCATTGGGCTAAACAATTTAAAGCAAAAACTGTTGAAAAATATTTAACAAATTTGCTCAGACAAAATCAGGATGCCGATGATGAAAATGAAAGCTCTGATGATGATGACGATGATGATGATGATGATGACGACGATTCAGAATTGGGAACAATTAGTGGTGTTTATGAGAGCGATGTATTTGAGTCAGAGTCAACATCACAACGAAACTCATCGAAGCGAAGTTCATACAAGAAATCAATTGAGAACTTTGAATTGGTAGAAGCAAACAGTCGACGTGGTGTTTTACCACCGTCTGGAAGAATTATTAAAGTTTAAATAGAAGTTTAATTATATCATAAAGAAGAAGATAGACACGTTTCTTCTTTTCTATCAAGATAATGGTAATGGTAAAATTGAAGTGCATTTTAAATGTGAAATAGTAAAAACTGTAATCACGATTAAATCATATGAAATAGTTTTTATTTTTTCAATTTTGTACTTGTTGTATTCCATTATAAGGAGTACAACCAGTACAAAATTAACTTATATCACTTCACAGATAACATGTACTACCGTTCAGTTCGAAAATAACATTAACATTTATAACAGTGTAAAGTAAATGTGTAAGACAAAAACAAAACAAAGTACGGAAAAGGATGATTTCAGTTCAACCTTTTTCTATACTTCTAGGTATTTTCATGTATTTTCAAGTATATTTTATAAATAAATCTATACATTTACTGATAGGATCCTTGGGAAATCCTTGTGGGATCCTCTTAGAGTTTAGCTTGCTTTTTGGTAGGATTCTCGGAAAATCCTACAGAATCTTAAAGGAACCAGGAATACTGGAACGTTGTATTTGCTAGGGTTCTGTTAGGATTCGAATAGGATCCTAACAAGAAAATGAGATGACTGAATCATAATATAAAAATATGCTCTCACAACGTATGAACAGCCGCAATTTGGCCAAAAATTACCAAGTTTTTCTTTGTAACGCTAAAACACTTTTAAAACGGGCTCGTATACATCTTATTACTTCGATCTGAGATTAACTATCCTTTTTTATTGAGAAAAAAGATCCTTACACAAACTTAAATGTTAGTCTCGAGATTCCTGACAGGAACCTAACATCGCAGATCCTGCTAGGAAGAACTGCTTATTAGGATCCTAAACTGATCATAATAGGGTCCTAAATGTTTAGGATCCTATTGGATCCTAGTAGGAAACAGATAAGAAGTGCATAGGATTTTGTCTAGGTGGTTACTTGAAATCTCCTACTCGAGTCAAGATAGAAAAATCTTTACAATCTATTTTTACCTTGTAGAGGCGAAACGTTTTCTTGTCGGCTCGAATTATTGATGAGAAGCATTCAGCAGCTATCTCAATTATGATCGACTATGTTGCTCAACAAGTTTGGTTTTAGAAACATTTTTCTTCTCTGCCCTGTTGTAGAACTAATAGCTGTTCACACTGGGGCAGGTCTACCGTTAACTTTTGTACGATACTAGAAATGTTTAAAAATTGCTCTTCAATACCGAATAACGTTACAAAACACCAGTCAAATAAGAATATTCAGGTTACGTCACAATAAAGAACTACATTAGGTCTGGCACTAATACATGAAACTGCAGATTTTTAATATGATTCTGGAAGTTATCGAACAGATGGCGCATATAGAAGAAAAACGTTATGTTCTGCTTTCATTGATTTATTTGAAAATTATGATTGATATCAACCACAAAAGCACTACACTATGAAGAGGCAGAAAATTGTAGAATAACCAATATTTTAAACAACACTGACAGGAAACTAATAGGTTTTTGTCAATAATGACACGATTTGACACAGATGCAATGGGGTAACCCGATTTCAGTGCCGTTGGACTGGAGAGATGAGAGTTAAAGTTTAAAAAAAGAAAAATAATCGCTTTTGAGATGGCGTATATATTTATGAACAATTTATTAATGATAATGAGGATAGCACGCACAAAACAAACGTTAAAAGGTACAAATTTATTTGATAGACATTGAATCAATCTGTTAATCGAACAAATGATAGTGTTCAAAAGATTCTGTAGAATTTCTTCACCTACTATTTCGACGGTGAATGGTCATACTGAACGGTTCGATGCTCTATTCGTACTACGCTCTTGTTATTATGAGACAGGACTAGATTTGACTAGATCATGTTTTTTATTTAGTTTAGTCAAATGTAAGTCAGGTCAGTGTTAATGGGATCTAAGTAACAAATACGTTTGTTGTTGCTGTTATGATAAATTAAACTTTGAACAACTACTGAATCATTTGTTACACGATAAATAGGCACCATCAACACATCATAATTTACTAGTAGTATATTCCTGGAACATGCAGCTATGGAAAATTTTTCGAATGCATTTCAATATTCGTCGAATTCAGCAATAAAACCATCTCATAAATATTTTTGAGTCTGCAGAGTTTAGTACGCGTGACGCTAGGACGCAACGATATTAAAATCTCAAAATTCATTTTGAGATATATCTAAATTCATTAATTTATCTTTTATGATTTAAACGAATACATTTCAGAGAAAAATCCCATTCAAATCGTTCTAGTATTCCAGGATATAACCATTCTATTGCTTTGACTACTACTGACAGGTGAGGTGAAGATGACATAGTGTCATTGTGCCCCAACGTATAATAATCCATCGTTTTCAAAATAAATTTTTCCATAAATAGCCTTTTTTTTTGAATTTAGCCAGATTCGATCATGTCATCGTATCTCTTAGATTCTCCGGATACATTACCAATACGCTCTAGACTAGCTGACCAGGCATATCATCATACGAAAAACGTGTTTTAATTATCAACATCGATATAAAATAAGATAACGTGACTATACATATAAACATTAATCTTACTTTAAAAAAGTAAAAAACCATAATAATTTGAAAAGATTAAAATTTCAGAAAGAGATGACTTGTGTAATTAATTTGTGTTACGATTATTCGTACTAAAACAAACTAATTCTTTCAATTCGGGCATTAATATCGAACGATAACGTTTTTCAAGTGAAACCATAAAATCAATATAATCTCTGGCACTAAAACCACGAATTTGATGACACTAAATCGAAAAATATAATAATCAATAAAAAATGAACTATATTTTTAATCAATCATATCTTTACCTTTAAAAATGGTAATAAATTTCTTGCGGAATGTTGTTTGATGATATCATTTTGTAAATATTTAAATATAGATACACAGTAATAAACTTGATAATCAATACCATATAAAATACATAATGTTAAATATGTAACAATTTCTGGCCAATCAAGATAATTCCAAAAACATTGTTTTATCCATTGATAGGCAATCTAAAAATATGGGGTCAAATTTTCATCTTTGATGAACACTATATACCAAAGAAAACTGTAATAACTATTAACTTACGTGAGATGGTGCTAAACCGGACATTCGAAATGCAAAAAATACTTGTGACATTTCATTTTCAATAATAAGTTCAACAGCATGCGTCGTGCCAGCGTATATTGGATGAATTGTGTATTGCACCATATCGGCACTAATAAATGGCTACAAATTATACACACTCATTAAATTTTACCGCAATAGTAGTAAAATTGTCAATTACTCACCGAATTATATAAACGTGCACACCAAAGAAATCCCGATGGTAATAATAATGAAAATGTTCTTAGCCAACGCCAAGCTCGTACTTCGTCACAATGCATTAAAAAAAATATACTTGTTACAAACCAATCATAACCGGGATAATCGATTGATTGATTAAAATCTAAAAGATTAACATGAATTAGAATATACAACATTTTCAATTTTAAAACGTTAAAATAAAATGTATTTTACTCAGTTTGATTTCATTCATGCTTGATCCATTGATTAATGATAAATTTGGTCGAATTGATTGTGAACGTTGTTTCAAATGACTTTTAACAGCTTTAAGTAATTTTGTGACATTTTGTTTGGCTAAATTGACATCATGAACAAGACCAATCTGAGCTCCATAGCTAAATAAATAAAATTAAACCATAAAACAAATAATTTATAGTCATCTTTCAAATTTTCATTACTTAATTGCTTTTTGAACACCACGTTCTTGTAAATTAGTCAAACCACTATTAGCCGACAATTTTGTAATTTCATTTTCTAATTAAGAGAAATTTAATATAGTGAACATAATGAAAAATACATCGTTAATCACACACACACGTACACACACACACACACACTCTCTCCCTCTCTTGACTACTAAGTCAATTATTCAATCTTGATCTTCTCTAAATGTTTGTGTAATATTCAACAACAATGAAAAAAAAACTCGCACTAAAAATTTTACTTGATTTGTACATTGAAGTGAATGAAGATGGAAAATGTGCTAAATATATACGGGTGAGCAAATCAAATTGAAAAAAATTAATCTAGCACTCAGTGTTCGCTTCGCTCTTAAATCTTACCATTATGCCGTCGATTATCTGAAATAAAATATTTCTTAAAAATCTTTTATGCTCTATTTTATAGTCGATGAACTATTTTAGTCTCAGACTGACAAACACTCACCCACTCTCATTCACACACTGTTAGAAAACGAGAGACATACTAAGAACTGTGGTGGATGACGAAGTTGAAGATGATAAATCTCTGTTCATATTGAATAATACGTCGATATGAATTTTTTCATAAATATCTACAACAGCATCCAATAGATCTGACATTACTAGAAAACAATAATACATATTAATTTATTGCATGCTGTTTCTATAGTAAAAAGTACATTGAACTGGTATATCTTGTGCTTGACTTTTCAATGCTGACATGAATACATGACGACATTTTGTCAACCATCTATCATCCAGACGATCTGGACGAGAATTTCTTATTAATCGAAGTAATTCACTATCATCTAGTAGAATAACAGTAGAAATATTTCAAATGATCATATAAATTTGTGAGGTAAGAATATATACCTAATTTACTATTAGCATAGGATATTTTTATTTTATAAAAGTCTGGAACATCGCCTTCGCCAAATAACGGATAGGGACAAGCTGCATCGGTCTAAAAATGACATTAGATCAATATTTACTACAAACATGTTTTAATTAGTCTTTATTTACTTCATTCATTGTCCAAGATGGTACAATTTTTTCATTGGGACCACCTACAAAATATTCCTAGATGATACAAGAGTTTTCTGTACAACACCAAAACATTGAATTACCTATGACTTCAGCATTGACTAGAACATGATTTCGTGCCATTGCTAATTGATCAAAAACAACTAAACTATAAAAAAACAACAACATACGAATAAGATTTTCTATTATTTTTTGTTTATTGCATTCTCATAGTAGAGAGGTACCTGTCTGCTTGATTATCTGTTTGAGCTCGTCGTAATTTTTTGACATAATCATATTTGACTTCGAGCATTAACTGAATATCCATATCCATTTGCATGATGCCTAACATTCTAAAATAAAAAATATCTTATTTTATACATATTTTTTATGTAGCTTCTAATATATACCTTAAACCAGTTGTATGGGTATGTTCATAACATAATAAATTTCTTACGCTGTCATCATCACATACGAACGCGATTCGATCGAGTAAACCCTACAAGTGATAAACTATATCATGTATCAAATGCAACTGATAAGCAGTTTACTTACCAGTAAATCAAGTGGTTTATCATTAATTGTTGAATCTTGTCGTGGAGTTAAAGATTCATCGTAAAATATTTCATATGCTGCAGCAAATGATGATGTCACAGTAAGAAGACACAACATTGGCTTTAAAAAAGGAAAATTATATCAGATGTTTTATATACTTTCAGAACCTAAATAATATCCGATACCTTTTGTGCATAACGGCTAATTGGTTCCGACGGAAATCGACGCGGAAATACTGATGTTAGATCATCTGGTACATGTTCAAGTTCTGCCCACAACTCTTCTACCAAACATTGGATAAAACCTAAAGAAAGAAGATTAAGAATACAAAGAAAATAATAATATTTACGTTATACATACCACATTCTTTCAGGGCAGCAGCAACTGCAGCCGTATTAGACAGTTGAGAAATAAGATATCCATAACCAAATCGTTCTAGTTTACCAACCTATTTTAGAAGAAAAGTTAATACTAATTTTTAATGATACACTGATATTTCTTCAATTTACCTGTCTTTTACTTCGATATCTGTCATCAAGATAGCTTATACATTCACCTAATAAACCCGTTTGTGTCAATAAATAAACACCTAAAAGTTATTTGATGATATTAATAATGTTAGTTAGAATTAGTTCAAAAAAGTGAAACTGTAACCTTTTGGCGTTGCAGAATATAACAATAGATTATCTCGAAGTGTCTCTTTCCATGTACCACTAAAGAAAATATCAATGATAAAATAAATTGAGCTCATAAGTGCGAGATTTTCTTTCTGACATACTGTAGTCTATATACACTTCGTTCCGAATCAGCTGAATGACTAGTACGCAATTGTGGAGAAATTGTTTTATCTTGTTCTTTATCAACCTATATAGAATTATATCATTGTTGTTGTTGTTGCTGTTTATTAGAAATAGCTAACGGATGCTTCAACCTCTGAATATTTTGACTATAACGTTTTTTCATTTAAGGATACAGAGTTATTTCTTCTTTTTAAAGATTTGCCGTTTTATTCTCTACAAAAAATATATTGAACAAATTATTTACTATTTTGCTTTAAAGTAAAATAAATTCAAGCTCAAAATGTTGAATTTTAGGTGTGTTATAAAGAATTTCGTATATGTCTCAAACATTCAGTTTAAAAATGATTATTTTTAGTGAAATTGATAAACAAGAAAAAGCATTCTCCCTCTATTACTGGTGAATATGAGGAGTTTTAAATATGGTCAGTTGATAGAGCTCTTTAACCGCTACAAAATGACCATCTTCTCGTTTTTCGTTTCGTAAAATATAAAGAACTAAACCTTCAAAAGTCGTTTTTTGGATTAAAAAGTAATGAAGATTGAAATTTCACAGTATTTCATCAATATTCCTTTATTTAAGTATATATAAAAAATTGTTCATTTGTATGTTTTTGTAGAGAATAAAACGACGAATCTTTAAAGGAAGGAATAACTCTGTATCCTTAAAGGAGAAAAAGTTATAGTCGAAAAAATCAGAGGTTCATTTCTTCTAAAACACCCATTAATACGAACCTCGTTTTTAAATGTATCAGCCAATGTTCGATGTAAATTTGCTCGTTTTATCGCTAAAAGACCCGATGATCTTGAATAAATAAGTCGGCAAACATATACATAATCACTAATTAAATTGTAGATATTTGTTGTTAAAGGTTCAGGTGTTTGTTGAGATGATTTTGATAGTGAATATTGTGTTAAAATACGTTTAACATATTGAACAATTAATAATGCTGGAGTATTTGGTTGATTTAATAAACTAGAATAAGAAAAATAACAATATTAATGTTTCTATTGTCAAAATTTAAATTCTAATGTTATTTACTCTTCATGAACAATTGATGTTGTATGTTTTCCTCTTAATAAATAATGATAACCATAATCATTTGATGCTATAGCAGAAAATAATTCAGCTAATTTTAATAAACCATTTTCACTTGTAATTGCTTGTGTTTGCATATATTCCATAAAAACTTTTTTTGAACTTAAAAATTGTTTAATTGGTCTTAATAAATATTCAAATAGATCATCTGTACAAATATACATTTGACATGTATCAGATTCCATACATAAACGTTTTAATACCGAACAACATAAAGATGATGGTGATTTTTCTATAATAGAAAAAAAGAAAAAGAAAATAGTCATACAAATATTAGGAAAAACAAATATGAAAACATTCATGTACCAAAAGACGAATAACCACTAGTTGAAAACATTATTTGAATAATAACTCGAATTAATTCTTTGACACTAACTAAAATTTTATAAAATACTAATGAATGTGAATAATTTTATTAATAGTGTAATCTACCTTCTTTTGATTGATCATATTGAATTGGAAATAGTAAATCTCGACCTTGTCTTAAACATACAATATGTTCAAGTATACTTAATGAATGTAAAAAATGACAATTTTCAATTTCAGAACGACTATAAAGATTTGGTGGTGATGTAGTAGAATAGGATATTGTTGATATAAATGAATGTGTCATTGGATTATTGCTTTGTAATGAAGCTAATGCTGGATAGGTTAATGTTGATGTACTACCTTCTGGTGATGCTGTACCTAAAAATAATATTTGATCAACAATTGTATGATAATTAAAATTAATTGAATAAAAATAATATTATTACCAATCGATCGTTTTTTTATTCCACTACTTCCATAATTATTATTTTCAAACTGATTCAAATAGGCATAATTAACAACAGATTGAAATGTATTGCGTAGCTAAAAAAAGTATGAGAAAGAAATCTTATTAAATATATTATTGTTGATACAATAAATATAATACTCACAAATGCTTTGGAATTTTTCAATGATTTTAATACATAATTTCGACTATAGAATGCATGCTAAATAGAGAAAACAAAGAGTACATATCTTGTTGTTAGATCGAGAATATCTACCATCCAGGTTCGAAACCAGTTTGCATGTGGATCAAGTAATGAAACAAAATGTAATGGCGTCAATTCACCGAGATTATTTTCAAGTATTGAACCAAATGAGAATAAACGTATTGTTTCATTAACCACATGTTCTACAAAACTTTTCAAGTACGAAAAAAATTAAGTTTTGAAAAATATTAAAAAAAACATTAACAAACCTTTCCGAATGTCGCATCCAATATTTAGTGGTCTCTTGTAAAAACTCTAATAATAAGCGAATCTTAAACACAAAGAACATGACATAATATTAGACTAAAATAATTTAAAAGTAAACAAACCTGTTTCAAGGTCAAATCATTATGAGACGATAAAACATCTAAAACAGATGTCGATAGTATTTCTTTTTGCGATGGAAACCATTGTAGAAGATGTTCCACTAAAATTTTAAATTTATATTGCACGTTTTTCACTATATTATCAAATTTTGATAGTACCCAAGTTTGTTAGTGTTTCACAGACAACATTTGGATGAGCTGTTGCCAATACACGTGAATGTAATATTAAACAAGCAGTCTAAACGAAGAGAATAATTGAGAAAATCCTACTGAATTATATTAGAGACATTCAATATTAACTGCAATTTCTTGATTTGAATCTCCCAAAGCTGCGATAAGCCCTTTGCACAACAATTTCCAATTGTCTATTGATATAACTTCGTTTGGAGCATAATTTAATAAATCATGCAATGCACGAAGACGAACCTGAAACAATCATTCTTAAAAACAAAAGAATATAAAGCAGACGTTTTTTACGTACTTTCTCTGATTTGCTTTTATTTAAATTTTCAGCTACAAGTCTCAAATGACTGTCGTCGAAAAACATGAAACTGTTCTAAAATAACCCCAAAATTTTCTTATTATTTTTAGAGCTATAAAATCAAGTTACGCTTACATGATTAACCGAACCATTTCCAAACGATGATTCTGAATCACTTGCATAACTCGCATTATATCCGGAACACGTGCCACCTCTTGGTTCAATTATTTCACTGAGAACAGATACCGAATTTTTATTTGAAAATTCAGTATCGAAATTGTCTACAAGATGAGTTACTGTTGTTCCTAGTCGTCGAAGTGATTCGTTTTTAAAATTAGTAAATCTATTACAAAAGAACAAATATTCTTAATAAAATTTAAGTTTATCGTCAAAATAACACTACACAAAAATTCTTACTCACGACTTTGATAAATTGAATGGCTGATTGTTGATGCACCTTCATTTTCTAACGCCACAGCTTGCTTTGAATTCACTGTTTGACGATTCGGACGTTTTGGATCGTTTTTAGCCGTTGTTGCTGTCGGAGTTTCGGAAGTTGAACGTCTATAATTATGACTACTTTTTAATTTTGCATCACCTAACATTGAATGTTCAATTTCTTTATCCACAGCATCTCCAAATGTATCGTCAATAATGTAATGAAATCTACCCAATAATTCAGAACTAAAACAATGAAGGAAAGCGCACAATAGTTGAACATAAATGAGAGAAGACTATGTATCTCTTACTTGTAAAGTACATCGTTACCACCCACTTGCATTAATGTAGGAATTAAATTTTCATCGTACACTCCTCTATTGATTGCTTTTGTCAAATATGGTTCTAACGCTTTTAGAAGTTCTTTCGTTAAATTTTTTAATTTGTCTTCGGATAAAGAATCGAGTATTTTACTCGCTGCGTTATACGACATTCCCAAAAAGTGATTTAGGTGTTACAAACTCATTCTACAAAGGAAAAAGTATTAGGTATCTAGAAAAACTAAATTCGTGTGCAGAAAAAATGTTTTCTTATTTCCACGATACATTTCATACGTCGAGTTCATTGATTTTATTTCAGTAAATTATATTAATCTTATTGATTTTATACTGTACTCTCCAGTATTTCGAATAGCAAAGCGCTATATCAAAGTGTACATACGCTTCGGAATTTAAAAATACGCTCTGTTTTACGCTTTGCTGAGAAAAGCAGAGTGTACGGTATACGGTTTCTACTAGAACTTTTTTTAAATTTAAGATAAAATAGGAAAAACTTTTTTAACTGCCTTTAAGTGAGTGATCAGATAGGAAAAGAGATTTTTTTCTTGTTATACAACATCAAGAATGTTTTTCTCTATTTGTAATTGTCTCCTAAGTTGCTGTCTAGGAAAAAAACCTGCATAAAGAAGTTTCTATTCTTCTCCTCTAATTCCTTATGCCTAATTGATGCTTTTTTTTAGATTTTGAAACGTGTACGCTTTGCAGAAAGAAACAGAGCGTACGCATACACTCAGCGAATAAATTCTGTTAGAAACAGTACTACTCTCAGAAAAGGAGTTGTACTAGAACTAAAATACCAATAATATTAAAAAAGAATGCACTTGAAAAAACCTTTGAATTTCAGATTCAAACGTGAGCTTTCACAGGTCTTTGAAAGCGACACCTTTATTTCTCATGAAAAGAAAACGCTGCTTCCAGCTTTTAAAAGCTCCCTTTGCTTTCATTTGTCCGTTCGTTCCCCTGTCGACAGCCTTCATTTTGGAAAACTGGCGAAAGGAGCCAGCATCTGACTACTCACCGTCTGACAAGCGCCAATCTTGAGCGACGTCTTCTACTGTTGACTCTATAACGCTTTAATGAAATAATATGTACGAAAATAATCTGCTTAGGAGGCCACGACTGTTTTGAAATCGTCACCTTAGTATTATCGGAATTACTTTATAAAATTTTATTGAAGTCTAATATGACAAGAAAATGGTACGAGTCGACCAATCTAACGTGAATGGGCGTTTTAAACAGAAACATATAAAACAAAAAATATCTTGAATGCGAATTATTATGTTGGTTACGCTTCGTTCACGGCAAATTGATATTTATTTTTAGTCTGACTTTTTAATCTTGTGGCGAACTGCTCTGTAAAAAAACCGCACGTTTTAACCGCTTCAACCCGAGGGTTCAACGGTCAGATAGCCTGACTCTTAAAACATCAGGTTGTCAATCATTCTTTACAAAACAAATCCAATCTGACGTTTTCTACGTTCGCGTCTGACATGACGCCAAAATGACGATTTTGGACGTGTCGAAGAAAACGCCCAAAATAGTCATTTTGGCGTCAGATTCGAACGGAGAAAACGTCAGGTTGGTTGAGTCATATGTGACTGAGTAAAGCATCGGCTTTTCCTATCGGATGTTTAAAATGAATTACTCTTTCTTTTAAGCTTAATGTTTTAGCTTCACAGAAGCAAAGACTGGAACTAAAATTGGATATTTCAATGTAAACGCATCAAAATTAAGCAGTGGAAGCAGTGTATTGCATACTGCTCCAATGAAGGTGGTTAATCACAAAATAGATACTAAATTAGCTTTTTCAAAATGTTCAAAGAAATTATATGCAAAACAGAGCAATCTATCACCTTAATCGTGAAGTTAGGGACGATCGTTTTGCGCATTTTGTAAGGTGTCGGAAATGCAGAAGAGCAGAAAACGTTTTTGATAAATTCATGCATGAGGCGATAGAGCTCGCCGAGCTGAGTAAGAATATGACATTTTAATTTTTAAAAATAGTATGTACAACCATTTGAAATTTTGTTTCCGTGTCGAGAAGGGTTGACGTTACTGGAAAAAAATCGGAATTCTGCCCATAATTCGTAATTTTCTCCATAAGAACTCACATTTTACGCAATGAAAATCTGATATTCGGAATAATACATATTTCAAAAGTTTTCATTAATTTTCATTTTCTGATGAAAATCGCAGTAATTATTCGACGTGAAAATTCAAAACAAAAATTGAAGTTATCGAATGGAAAAAGAAGGACATTATTCGACTCGATTTTTGACGCTAATTCCAAATATGATATTTTCATCGCGTAAAATGTGAGTTCTGATGGAGAAAATTGAGAATTAGGGGCAGAATTTCGATTTTTTTCAGCAACGTCGACTTTTCTCGGCGAGGGAACAAAATTTCAAAATGGCAATACATATTTTTTTCCTTTTCACGTGACGGTTTGAATGATGTGCGAAAGATGATGTTAATTCTTGAGGCAAAAAAGGAGAGAGGTTTACAGGAACCGGGCGTCAGTGTGTCACGAGACTGTACCATTCGAGCTCTGAACGAGAGAGCTAGGATCCAATTGGATCGCGCCGAACTTGTCGCATTCAGTTTTCAGTGCTGGATCTGAATAAAATATTTTCGCTTAAGTAGAGTAAGTGCAAAGTAATAAAATCTTGAATTTTTTCGAAATTCATCAAATTTTCATTCATTTTAAGGGATGACTTGTATTTTAAAGATTTACTCACCCAAAATATGGTTTAATGTCATATTCTTACTCAACTCGACGAGTTCTGTCGAACCATGTATGAATTTATCGAAAATGTTTTCTGCTCCTCTTTTGCATTTTCGGCACCTTAACTCTTGTATAAGCTCCCTAGAAAAATAGTAATCTGTCGAATCGCCGATCCTTAGAGTACACATGTCAAAGAATAACCTGAGATGTGTCACAAGATAAAATGTGAAAAGTATAAAAAGCTCCCGTATTTTTATTATAACAACCGTGTTGTTGTGACTATAACTTTTATAAAGAAAACAACAGAACATGAAGAAAATAAACAAATATCACAGGAAAAACATCAATAATTTGATAAGTATTTAGTATTTTAAATTAAATAGAGATTCTAATTAGAAACTCTTTGATGTTCTCGATTTCTTCAAGAAGTTCGTCGTTTTTGAGATAAATACATTACTGTAGGAAAGACAGCATCGCTGTGAAATGTACTTATTTCAAAAACAACAGATTTCTTCAGAAAACTGAGAACGACAAAGAGTGTCTAATTAGAATCTTTATTTAATTTAAAATATTAATTTGATGAATTCAGTCCATGTAACATATATACAAAGTCATTATATGCATCAGTCTACATACCAGAAATTTCCAATAGAAATAAATAAGTGAAAGAACAAAGTGTCTAGTACAAAAAATATATAAAAGTGTTTGATCGGAAATGTTTCCTGAAGACCACAAAAATCTTAAAACAAAAGGTATCGGGAGCTGTTCCGCAACTTTGATCACAATTTTTATATTTAATTATATTTGTTTGACCTTTTTCATTACCCACTTTCGATGTTTTCGAGCACCATATATATAAAGTTGTTCATTACAACGAAGGATTTTGTATGATATTAAAAAAGGTGGTCTAGAGTACAAGAGGCTAAACAGGAGGCAGTTTGATTAAAAAAACTCAATTTGGCGTTTACAACGCGAAAACAAATTTTTGTCGGAATATCTCATACAGTAGCTGTGTTCTATTTCAAATAATATCGTTTGGTAGAGGACTCAATAAACTTTCTTTTTCATGTAAAATATGTAGTTTCTGGCAACCTCTCTCTCAGGATAGAATTTCTTTTTTTGAATTGCGATTGACAGTGATGAAAAATCGATGAAATCGGAGATGTTATTAAAGCGTTCCTTTCGACCGTTATAAAATACTTAGAAAATTTTTTTTTTTGTGCAGCAATAGTGTCTTATCCTTAAATTATAAAACTCGGAATAAACAAATAAAAAGATAACCTTTCTTAATGGAAGGAGTTTTTTCTAAATTCGAAAAGGTTTGCACAACAGTTTCCCAATGCCTTTTGTTCTAAGATCTTTATGACCCTCGAGAAACATTTCTAATCAAACACTTTTGTATATTTTTGTACTAGGCACTTTGCTCTTTCTAACAGAAAAAGGATAAAGTCTCTACGATATTCCATTCCAATGCTATATCAAAAACAAAATTAATGCAGAACCTTTCCTCATCTGTTACTTAGAGAATAGATGATCGCTTCTGCAGATCGAAATACCAAAGTATTTTGGTAACGTTGAACATATACATTCTCATTTAGTAAAAATAATCTCTAGAACTTTGAATGTAAATAGTGCAAATGCCCAGAAGTTAAACTTTTCTATAAATAAATAAGTAGTTGTAAACAAATTTATGAAGTTTAAATGAAGTTGAGTTTAAAAACTAAAATTAAAGTGATATCTATCTATCGCTTAATCTAAATGAGTTTTAGAAGTTTATAACAGATTCTTAAGCTATAATATTTCTTGAGAGAAACTGAAATTATGCTATGGTAGACAGAACCGGTATTTTTACGCTTTCGTGAAATAGCTGAAATTCTCGTACTACTTACAATTTATTGTTATTTTTATTGCTGGTGACTAAATTGTGAAGTATAAAATTTTTTAGTGTAAGGTGAATATTTTAAATACCTGAACTAAAGTTTATTTTGCTACCATTAAAAAAATGTATAGTTACAACTGGATGTTTTTCAGATGGACGGAGAACAAAGTGATAACGAGCCACAAGATGAAACAGATGATGAGGATCTCGATGAAGATGACGAAGAAGAAAATTTACAAAACAATGATTTAAATGATCGTTTGAAATTCAAAACACCACTTGGAGATATTCTACCGAGTACTTATGAAGGAAGGACGGTGGAAGAGCTTTTTCCAGCATTTAAGCACAATTCTGTACGTATTTCAAAGTTGAAGTATATTTAACTAATTTTGTTATAAGACTTTTTTAGGTACTTAAATTCAGTAAGATATTTGGCCTTGGAAAACCATATCATCTGCCGAAACTATGGAAAAATGTTCAAAAAAAACGCAGAGTGAAACACACATTGTCCTTAACAAACGAAGTAAAGTTGACAGTTTCTTTAACTTTTTAACTACTGATTGTTCTTCAAATTCTCCTTACAGAACAGTGATCCTAGTGAACAACGCGATGAAGATAACAAAATAAAAATTCGAGATCCAACTGTTGAAGAATGTGGTGAATCCAATGAGGTTTGATTTTAAATTACGAAAATTATGCTCTTTACAAATCTTTTGTTCTTTTTTTTTGAAGACTCAGTTTCTTGGCCGACTTCCTATTGTGGATGAGTCACCTTACGAACAGTCGGCAAAAGAAGATGCCAAGAGTCTTTCACCACAAACTACCACAACAAAACAGTCCATACCCAATTGGCGTTTAGGTCCAGCGCGTTACTGGTATGATAGTATTGGACTTGATCTGGACATACCAAAGTTTGATTATGGTTTCAAAGCAAAAACGGTATTTATAGAAGACTTCTATTTTCTTTATGTAGAATATAATATCATTGTGTTGTTTTTCCAGCATGATGAAGAACACTCACAAAATGATAATGATAACGAAAATTTAAACGTATCAGTTGAAAATTTTTTACCTGTTAATCTTGTTCGATGGGAAGATGACGTTATACTAGATAGTTCATCATTACGTGAGAAAATAGATTTGAATTCACAAAAAATACGCTATTGTGCATGGATACCAACATCTACTTATCGATCATTAGCAAGTTTCCAGAAAAGTGTATTTGGTAAGTTGTAAATAATATAAATTACACAAACTGATTCTCGATGCCTTTTCTCTATCTACTTGTAGGCAAGAATGTTGACTATTTAGAATCAAAAACTGGTAAGTTGACTTTTGATATATAGAAGAAAAGTAATTACAGGTATTCTTGTTTTTCTTTGAAAGATGAAACAAAATACAAAAATTGGTATTCTATATTTCCGATTGATAATTATGATTTAATGTATGGTGATTGGGAAAAAGATATTATTATTGATCCAGAGGTAATATTTTTATATTACAAAAAATTTTGCGCTACGATAAATATAGTAACAATAAAGGTATCCAATGGTGAATCACAACACAAAAGCATTAAACGATGTTGAAAAAAACTGAAAGCAAAAGAGATGATTGACCACATAAGTATTCTGGAGCTTTATAAGGCGCAGCATGAGAAAGAGAATATCTGAAAACCTATAAAAAAAAGTGTGTTTGCAGGCTTTCGGATTGCTTCTATAGCAAATATCAAAATCCTTAGCCAAAATTGTTAAGCTATGCTTCGACTTTAGCGTTGCGTTACATCCAACAAGTTTTTGCTCACAAAAACCTATTAATCTCACATCATTCTGAATATGTCATTCCATGATTCTAAATATGACATTTTTATTAAATAATAACATTTCTGGACCGAGATAAATGGAAAATACCTGGAAAAGCTAGGGTTTTTGGAAAACCCATATCTAAGTCCGGGAACGTTTATGCTAATTGTGATGATAGAGAGCATGTAGAAAAACATTCTGTAAAATTCTGGATAAGTTTGAAGTTGGGCGGTGGAGGGTGCGCAAATTTTACTGAAACTAGCAGTTCGGAAAACTACTTAGGAAAAACTTTTATTTTTTTTGCTCAGCAATCTCCCATTCAAACTCAAAATTTACGTTACGTGCAAAATTTACGTTACGTGCTACACTGCCAAGGTTTCTTAGAATGATTCATTTTAACTTTTATTATGAAAACTAATTTTTTTATCTCTTTTTGGTTACGAATATTTTTACATTCAGATGTTGTCTTTCGGGCAGATTCTTTTATTATGAGGATGTCTTTTGTTCCATTGCTGAAATAACTCCCGTTTGTTTTTTATAAGTTATGATGTATTCATTTGTCATTAATTGCTCCATCGCCTCATCATTTTCAATTAGATTTGTGTCTGTGTGTATTGATGCCGGCAGAACGGATTTTAAAATTACAGTAGTAACAACGAGGTCGTACGTTTCTTTTGTTTGATTTTTGACTTTAATTTCGAACTTTTCATCGCTCACTGATGCATTGACCAAACGCTTTCTCATACTGTAACCGTTGCATTTTAGTGTTTGACTTCTGATGATAATATCATTTGATTGACATTTTTCGCAAATGTTTTCGGTATGTTTCGGCAGAATACTTATAATATCACCTAGATAACCATAAGTTGCGTGTCCTATACGTTTTCTAGGAAAGGTTCGGACGCATCGAAAAATATATATGCTTATGAAACGTGCAAAATCAAAATATATCTGACCATAGACAAAGACTAGATAAACACCGCGAGTATAGTGTTCAGAGTTCATTAGTATGTTAAACTTTTACTTCAGTTTAGAACTAATGTTTTTTTAAGGCTAGACGTCTCAGTATTGGGAGTTCCATCGGTTAGCATCTTTAGGTGCTACCCTGCCAAGATTTTCACCTAGGTTAAGCTAACACCAAAAAAACATTTTTTTGCTTGGGCGTAGACTGATAAGACATTTCCCATGGGGAAAGTTTATCGACTTTTCGCGCGTGAGGGACCGCGAAATGTCAACTTGGACTTTCACGAAATTTTGTAGGTAAAGACAGGAAGTTTCACGACGGTTTGGTCGCGTTGTTGCAACATCACACGCGTGGCCACGCGTGAAAAATCTTCACACGTGTACACAAGTGAACAATCTTCACGCGTGATTACGTGTGAAAAAATCTTGACCATGCCGACCATCTATAGTCAGTATAGGTACCAGGATACTTTGAATTAGAAATCTACGATACTACTATTGAGCTAACTTGCCTGAGAAACTACTGAATAAATCTCATATTCATACTTGTCGAATCAATCTTCACGAGTTAACACATGTAAAAAAGTTCTCACGCGTGATTACTCGTGAACTTCCTAAATCTTTTTTCTTAGTTCCAACTTTTCCAAACTATTTTAGTTAATACTTCCTCCCGGATTTTTAATTTTAACATGAGAAATTCACGTGTGGCCACTACACACTTCACGACTTCCACCTGTGATCACGTGCGAAAAATATGACGCGAAACGTTTTTGTGACCAGTTCACCTGTTGTCACAGGTGGAATATATTTTTCACGTGCCCACACACCATTTTACGATGTTCACGTGCGACCGCAATTTATTTCACGATATTCACGCGTGTACACACCGCGGTACCTACTAAAATTTCCCCATGGGTTCAGCTAATTCTTCTCTCTTATAGAAAAATCGAAATAATTTTGTTAGCACATCTATCTAGTAACGAGAGAACAAAAGAGTACCAATACCAAATTAGTTATAAGTAGTCTAACACATAAGATTATATTTAACTCTCTATTCTAATCTACGTCGTATGCTTTGTCTCTTTCATTTTTATGTAGAATTATGTGAGTGACTTTTAACTTCAGGAAATGGAACGTGTTCATGATCCACCAGAATTGATACTAGACGAAAATGATGAACATTTAATACTGGAAGTACCAACAGATCCTAATGATCATACAAAGCATTCAAACCGTGATCTGGATAAAAGCGATAGTCCAATGAAAATGAATAATAAAATGCATCCAAAAGTAAACACCTTTTTTCCAGGTATATTTTGAACTGGGAATTATTTAAATATTTTATTTTATTTGTAGGAACATCGAGTACGTGTAACTCGAACAGTTTTACATCGTACTGGTCTATTAAAAGCGAGCAATGAAACGGGTGATGAAGATGAAGAAAGAAGAAACGATAATCAAACTGGTCAAAATAATAATCGTGTAACACCAAAAAATGATTTCTGGAATTTGTCAAACGATGAATATTATAATCCAAAATTGGCGGATGCAGTTGTTAAAAATATTGGAACATTGAATTTACAGGTAAATAACACACAAACTAACTTACATTACTCCTAATATATACATGAAAAAAATAAACTAAAATTATTCTATAGCTGTCTAATAGTAAAACTCATTCTACACCATATTCTGCGGCAAACTCTCTTCCAATGAACTTTCATATAGTTATCAAATCGTAATTGTCGATTAGAGAATAAAATTTTGATATGTTTATTTTAGCATGCTACTCCAGCCGTTGAATTACATCCTCAATTATTTCCAACATATTTAAATGCTGCCAAATTGAGACAGTTTCATCGTCCACTACTGAAAAAATCTTTACAATTGAAAGATGGTGAATATCATCCAATTGAATCTTTACAAAAAATGATTGATATTAAATCATTGGTAATTTATACGTTTGTGCGACAATGTCATTTTCTTGTTCAATATGGTATTGTTATTATTATTTTTATTATAGGAAAGAGAAAAAGAGCGTCAAACGTATGGTGGTGGAGAAATGTTTTATATGCGTCGTTTACAAGATTTAAGCAGCATGGATAGTGAATTACTATTAGCTGAATATTCTGAACAATATCCACCATTAATTAATCAAATTGGAATGGCTACAAGATTAAAAAATTATTATAAAAAAGTATGACATTATTCAAATTAAAAATTAGGAGAAATGATATATTGTTTTGATATTTACTATGAAAAAGTTTAATGTATTTTTCTCTCAACTATACTTTCTCTTTTTCATAGAAACCCGGAAAACAAGACAATCCTCCAAAATTAGAATTTGGTGAATTAGCTTATGCGCATACATCTCCATTTCTTGCTGACATGGCACCAGGAGAAGTGTTGCAGGTATGAGACTATCTATAATAATAGTATGTGTATAGAAGAGATATATCTTTTATATCTAGGCATTTGAAAATCATATGTATCGTGCACCCATTTATCTACATGAAAATCCTACTACGGATTTTTTAGTTCTCCGAACAAAACATCATTACTATATAAGACATATTCAAAATATATTTGTTGTTGGTCAAGAATGTCCATTAATTGAAGTACCAGGACCAAACTCAAAACGAGCAAATAATTTTACAAGAGATTTTCTTCAGGTAATAAAATATATGATTTTAAAGAAGAAAAAACAAAAAGTATGATTTTTGCTTTGTTGTTTTTATAAGGCCTATATTTATCGACTATTCTGGAAAAGTAAAGATAATCCTACTCGTTTAAAAATGGAAGTGGTACGAAAAGCATTTCCACAAAATGCTGAGAGTAGCATTCGAAAACGATTGAAATTATGTGCTGATTTTAAACGAACAGGTATTATTAACACATTTTTATGATTTGTTCAATTAGAACAAAGAAATATATGTTCATAGGTGTTCACTGTAATTGGTGGGTATTGAGAAGTGACTTTCGTATACCAACAGAAGAAGAAATTCGGCAATTAGTATCACCTGAACATTGTTGTGCTTTCTACAGTATGCAAGCAGCAGAACAACGTTTGAAAGGTATTTTAATTGAATTATTTTGTAATATGTAGAGAGACATTTACAAGGTTTTTTTAGATGCTGGCTATGGTGAAAAATGTCTGTTTGCTCCCGCAGATGAAGAAGCAGATGATAATGAAACTGGCAAGATTGAAGATGAAGTATGAAATTTGTTGAAAATTGTGTCAATTTAAGTAATCTCTGTTTCGTTGTTTAGGTCAAATGTGCTCCATGGCATACAACTAAAGCTTATCTTGACTCGTTAAAAGGAAAATGTTGGTTACAGTTAAGTGGAATTGCTGATCCAACTGGCACTGGTGAAGCATTTTCCTATGTTCGAGTATCAGCCAAACCAAATGCAAAGGTACGATCGGTTATTTTTTTTTTTTTTTAGTGAGATGATTAATCTATTCACGTTAAAATTTTTATTTTTCAATAGGAAGAAGCCGAAATAGCTCAAGCGAAAAAGACTGTAACAGGAACGGATGCTGATTTGAGACGCTTACATTTAAAAGATGCCAAAAAAATTTTAAATAAATTTGGAGTACCTGATCATGTTATTCGAAATTTATCACGATGGCAAATAATTGATGTTGTTCGAACAATGTCAACAGCAAAATTAAAAGACGGAACTGATGGAGGTAAAATGGAGATAATTAATTTTAAATATATTTAATACAAAATGTTTGTATATCCATCTTTTAGCGGCTATGGCAAAATTTGCACGTGGAAATCGTTATAGTCAAGTTGAATATCAAGAGAAATATAAAGACGAATGTCGACGAATATTTGAATTACAAAATCGGTAATTCTGTTAAAAATCGCTTGATGTTGATTATTATTTTATTCTAATATTTTTAGATGTTTATCGGCAAATCATTTAACGTCAACAGATAGTGAGAGTAGTGGAGATGAAGATTCGGAAGTGGATGAAATGCGTAAAAATCTTGAATCAATGTTACAGCCAAAAAATGCTTCTACGAGCAATTCTTCAACAACAGCAGCAACAGATGTTTTTAGTACAGCATTACATAATTTAAATGTAGATATGACAAATATGACTGACGATGATCGAACGAAACAACGACGAGATAAAGATGATGGAACAAACAGAAAATCTGTAGGTTGAAAGAAATTTACTCTCTTTTTTAATTAAGTTCTTTTTTATCTTTAAGAATTCTCGAGTATTAAAAATAATTCGAACATTTCGTGATGAACATAATCGTGAATATCAGTCTGTTGAATTAGTTAAAAAGCCAATGGTGATTGAAGCATATACAAGAATTCGGCAAACAAAAGATGATGCATTCATGTATGTATAGATTAGTTACTGAAACAAGTTTATATGATAATTATTGTTGTTTTAGTCGACAATTTTTTGCACTCGATGAAGTACAACGTGAACAGTTACGCCGTGAACGACGACGTATACAAGAACAATTACGTCGTGTAAAACGACAAGAAAAATTGCAACAAAGTCAACAAGAAAAACAACCAAGTATGAAATCACCAGACGATAATGAAGATGATGATGAAGATGAAATGTTTGAAGAAAGAAATGATCATGATGAGAATTCACAATCCGATTTTTTCTTTGATAATAACTCAAATCATGCAGCAATATCGACTGGTCTTGTGACAACGTTAGCAAATGGTACAATATTACCATCAACTTCTACGACATCGAATATACACAATAATGATTCATTAGATAACTACTTATCAAATACTTCTTTAACAACAACAACAACAACAGCAACAAATGGCGGTAATGATACACAAACAATTGATTTAGCACCAAGAAAAAAACGTCGAAAAGCGGAAAAAGATTTAAAAGTACGTATCAAATAACTGTGAGAATTAAGTAACGGTTATATCTCAAAATTCAGTTAATCGTTTGGGGAACAAAATGTTATTTCAAGAGCGTCTCGATCTTTTTTAATCGTTCTTTGTTTTTGCTTAGATGAAATGTGGTGCATGTGGTGCCGTTGGTCATATGCGTACAAATCGAGAATGTCCTTTGTACGGTAAATCATCTGGAAGCACATCAACAAATCCGTCGACATTAAATAGTATGACGAACAACAATGATGAAACACAACAAAGTAATCATAGTTTTGATAGTGAATTCAGTAAACAATTTAATGAAGAAGCTGTTAAAATTGTCGATGGGACAAAATTAATATTATCAAAGAATATGATTGAAAAGTAAGAAAATATTTCTTTTTTATTAACACGCTAATCATCGATTTTTGTTTGTCATCTAGAGCGGAACAAGCGACTAAAACAAAACATTCTGGCAAAGATTCATCTTCTACGAGAAAAAGTAAAAAACAAAAAATATCAAAAGCAGCAATTAGTTCTAATGATGATAGCGACACAAATGATATAGATGCCCTCAAAGAAGCATCGCCACCACCACCAATCGTTCATATTTCAACAATTCCGTTTTTTCCAAATATTTCGTCAACTACCACACCCACCGAACCGTCTACTCTAAATTATAATCCTCTTGCATCCCCATCATCAGATGTATTTTTTTCAAATAAAAATAGCCGAGGAAAAAGTTCAAACAGTATGTACAACACTTTGGCTTCAACACCCACTATTTCATCGCCATCGTTACATCAACCGGTAACTCCTCTCTCGTCGTCAAACGTATTAGGAACATTGTTTTCATTTTCATCAGTCAAAAATGAAACAGTTGAACGTACACAAAGCACTAGTTCCGTTGATTATTATTCTGATCGACCAGTTAAAAAAGCTCAAAGACGGCGTATAGATCCTGTTGTTAGTTTTGCATCGTTATTAGAATCAATCTTAAATGAATTGAGAGAATTACCAGAGGTTAGTATTTTTGTACACTTATTACTGTATTTATAAAAAAAAAACGCAGAAATTAGTGGTTATAAAATGGAGATTTGGTACCATTAATGTCTCTATGGGGTGTGAAGGTTTTTAAAAAACAAATTTTCTTTCTCTTATAGGCTGGTATGTTTTTAACACCAGTTAATGCTCGTCGTTTTCCTGAATATTATCAACAAATTAAAGATCCAATGGATTTTCAAACAATTCGACAAAAAATTCATTCACATATGTACGAAACACGTGAAAGTTTCTTGGCTGATATGAAACAAATTGTTGATAATAGTAGACAATTTAATGGACCCGATGATGCAATAACACGTGATGCTCAGTTCGTAATGGAAACCTGTTTTCAAAAATTTGCTGCTGTAAGTAGGATGTAAATGAATTGCGCTGCCATTATACGATCGTTATTCGATATGTGAAACTCGTATAACGTTTCGTGTAACTTCTCTGAATTTCTCTAAAAGAGGAAGAACAGGGAGTGAAAGTTTGTAAAGGGACAAATTGCTGGAAATCTTTTTCTGTCTTGATATCCCGAATATGTGATAAAAATTTCAGGTCAAGAAGTCTGACTGTTCGGGAGCAAACTGTGTTTTACTGTCAAAACGCGAGATTAAAATGGGTAAATCTCTAGAGAAAATAGACCTAAATATAACTTATTATACACTATTCGATTTTCTTCAAGAAACTGATAAATATTACAAGTTTTTAAAATGCTTTTCGACTCCTTATTCGATAGAAAAGATGAGAAAATCAAGACTCTAAGTGTTTTTTCATGCTTTTCTCGTATTGTATTACTTTACTCCATTTTGAGACAAGATTTTGTTTAGTGTAACTATTTGTATTCTATACTAATGCCTTGTAAATTAATTTCATTTTGATTTTTTAGAAAGAAGATAAATTGATGAAATTAGAAAAGTCAATAAATCCTTTGTTAGACGATGATGATTTGGTAGCAATATCCTATTTATTTGAACGTATTGTAACTGATCATTTGATGAATGTCGAAAACTCATGGCCATTTCTTCGTCCTGTTAGTAAAGTGAAAATTAAAGATTATTACGATATTGTGAAGACACCAATGGATTTAGAAACGATTAAAACGGTACTATTTTTTCTTCCGTCTTCGTCCATAATACGATGTATAATTATTTTTCTTTGTTATTGTTTTAGAATATACTCAAACATTCTTATCGTAATCGATCATCATTTTTACATGATGTTGAATTAATATATAAAAATAGTGAACAATACAATGGACCAGTAAACTGCTATACGGATACGGCATTAAAAATTGTTGAAACATGTCGTCAACAATTAAAAAATTATGATGAACAATTTTTAGTGTTGGAAAAGAATTTAGAATTACAAGAAAAACATATGAATTCAACAAATAACACGTCAATGTTATTATTTGATGATGATGATTACGATGATATTAAACCACATCAAAGTCAGTTAAGTACAATAATATCAAACAATGAACAACCACAACAACAACATGATACTTCGATGGAAACAAATAGTACAACTATGCTGTATGGTAAGTGTAAAAAAAAAACAACGAAATCTAAAAGAATAACAGTAGTATTCGCCTATTTTTTATTTTCTTATCTTTCAAGTAGATAGTACTAGTACTTAAACATTAATTTATATTTTAGAAAATAGTGATGAAAGTTTTAATCCGGAAGGATTTAAATCAGTTGCAAGTCCACCACAAATAGACCAAACAGGAATGTCATTGGCAACATTTATTAGTCGAGATTTCTCGTGTATTAATGAGAATGAAAGTATGATCGTTAATGATGATAATCCAATCATTAATTTTAATTCATCAGCATCTGTAATCGATGATAACAAGCAACCTAGTGAGAAAAAAGAAAATAAATCAAATCGACGTGGCGATACAATTGAAGATGTTTTAGGTACAAAATTGCTCTTATTCAATTTTATGGAGTAAAATAGATTTTTTTTATGTTAATTTTTAGGTGATATAAGTGAATCGGATCAATCATCGGATGATGATACTGAAAAAACAACATCTAAAAAGACACTTGATTCTTCGTCATTAACAACAGTTTTATCCGCAGATATTTTTTCATCTAATGAAATATCTTCGGCAAAAGA